CGGCCAGCGCGCCTGCAGGATGAGCCGATGCACATGAATGGGCGGGCTGGTCGGTGCATCGGGCGCCAGCCAGTGGTCATTGTTGTTGTCGTTTCGTCCTGCAGCGCCGCCGCCACCAACAGCACCGTCGCGCACAGGCGCTTCCGCCTCGTGGTCCATCTCGTCGTCTTCTGGGTTGCCCGAGTGCGCCGTCACGATAAAGTCGGCGCCGCTGCCCGTCTCGGGCGGCTGGTCAAAGAGGCGCGACAGGTCCGACCCCAGACCCATGGACGGCGGGTCGTTGGCGTGGCGCACGCGCGAGGTCGGCCGCGTCATCATGGCGCCGCCCATGTCCATCATGCCCATCATGCCGTGGGCATCGGGCGGCGCGCTGTGGCCCAAGAACCCGTAGCGGCGCAGGTCAATCTCCATAATGTCGCTCAGGTACTCCTCGAAGCCGTTGGCGCCGAGCTCGCTGTTGCTGGGGTCCGTCGGGCAGCCCAGCAGCCAGGCCTTGGTGCCGTCCTCGTTCATCGTGCAGTAGTGCCAGCGGTAGCCCGGCTTGAAGATCTCGCGGCCCTCGGCCAGTTTCTGCCAGCGCAGCGTCGCCAGGTCGAGTGTCGACAGGGAGCACTCGCGCGACATAATGGTCGGCGCGGGCGTGACAAAGTCGAGCAGCATGCCGGCCGAGTAGACGTGGAAGTGGATGCCCGAGCCCTGGTTGGGCGTGTTGGGCCCCGAAAAGAACTTGAGCGCCGAGATGGACCCGGGCGCCACGGGCGCGTACGACTTGAGCTGGAACGACGGCGTGTTCACCTGCGCGGTGCGGGAGTTGGCCGCATAGCCCGACGCGCCGACGGCCGGCGACGGCGCCAGCGCATACCCGGGCCGCGGGGAACCGCTGCCATGGCGGCTGCTGCCGCCGCCCATGCCCAGCGGGGGCCCGCCCAGGTTGGGGCGGTCGTAGGGGCTGCTGCCGATCTGGGGCGGCGACTGGAAGGCGGGCGTGCCCTTGAGGTCCAGCCACCAGAGGTCGCTCACCTTGTCCATGTCTTCGCTCAGGCCGCCAAAAACCCACACGCGGTCGCCCCAGATATACGCCGAGTGGTCGAAGCGGCCGACGAAGCGCCAGGCACGCGACCAGCAGAAGGTCTTGAGGTCGAGGTAGCAGATGTCGTCGAGCACGTAGTTGTCGTGGCCTGTTATGCCGCCGATGATGAACAGCTTGTCTTCGTGCAGGACGGCGGCGTGGCGGGCGCGGCCCTTGGGGATGGGTCCCGTGACGGCGGGCTGCGTCCAGTGGGCGGTCTTGAGGTCGAACACAATCAGGTCCGACAGGTACGTGCGGTGCTCGTTCTCGCCGCCAAAGACCAGCAGCTTGTCGCCCTGGTACAGCGTGGCGGTGTGGCCCATGCGCACCCCAGGAATGTCGCCGTAGTTGTCGACAAGGCTCCACTGCTGGCTGACGAGGTCGAGACGCAGCACGTGGTTGTACACCTCATCGGTGTACTGGTCAAAGCCGCCAAAGGCAAAGATCTGGTTGTTGCCGCAGTACGTGACGGACGCATTGACGAGACAGGCAGGCCGCTGGCCGAGCGTGCGCGTGACCTTGGGTCGGTAGCCGTCCGAGCCGCTGCCGCCGCCGCGGTTCTTCATGGGCGAGTTGGGCATGATGTAGGTGTTGTTGGAAGACGAGGCTACGGAGGCAGGCGTCGACGTGCCGGGGGCAGGCGGGGGCGCGAGGTTGGCGGCCGTGAGCGCCGCAGGTCCGAGACCGAGGCCGGTGCCAGAACCGAGTCCAGGTCCAGCTGCCTGGGGCGTTGCCGGTGCTGGTCCTGGTCCTGGTGCTGCTGCTGCTGGCAGGACAATCGGTGGGCTTGGGACGACCGGAGGGCCGCCGCCGAAGATCGATGTGTATGCACCGGGGGGCGTGGGTGCAGGCGGAGCGGTGGCAGCGGATGGCGAGGAAGAAAAGTGAGGATGGGAGCCAGTAGTCGAGGGCTGGGCCATGTCGTATGCCTCTCTCTCGCGAGAGAACTATCTCCGCATGGTTCGAGGCAACAGAAGCGGAGGCGAGGCTATGGTCGGACGGGGGAGGTGAGGCGCCAGTCAGAGCAGAGTAAGGGCAGGGTGAGTGTCGTGGTGGGATTGGCGTATGCCAACGACGCTGTCAGGAGACGCGAAACAGAAGAGGAGACAGGCAAACGGGCGAAGCGATCAAAGAAGTCGAGGACGACAAAGAGGAAAGCCGGCTGTGGGTGTTTTCAAGGGCTACGGGTCCGTTCGACCTAGTTTGTCCGGTGCGTTCTCTGCGTTCTATGGGCATATGCGTCTGAATGACGGGCCAGAATGGGGCGGCGATGGCTGCTAGCCTGGTGGAGGTTTTCTTGTGGGTTCAAGATCAGTGGTTGCTGGCTGGCGCCAGACCATTTTGGTGAGATTAGCGTTTTGCCTCGTTTTGTCTTTGTCTGGCAGGTAGTGTCGTGCAGGGAGGCTTGGTGGGGCATCCACGCTCTGTGATTAGTTATCCGATGCACGGTGCATTTAGGTGGGGCCATTCCGTTCATGTGTTACATCACGTGCATGTATATTTAAGGTACGTCGTTGTTCTGAAGCAAGGAGTATTTACTTCGACATCATACGTTACAAGATATTTTGCTCGCTAAATCAAACAAGATACGTCACATTGCCCGAGTGTTCTGTCCCGCCTAGTATGTCGCCGCCAGCCGCTGCACCAGGTACTGGCCGGTGTTGACGCCCGCATATTTCTTGTCCGTCTCCGCCGAGTATGTGCCGGGGATGGCCTCGATGTGGCTCTTGAAGTTGGGATTGCAGAAGTAACTTTGTGCTTGGTGTGAGTATGTCGTGTATTGGAGAAAAAAGAGGGACAGAGGGACAGAAGAACAGAAGAACAGGGAGAGTCTACTCACGCTACGCTGTACCGCGCCGGGTAGGTATCACCTTCGGCCCCGCCAGGCGGCTCGACAACGCGGTGGATCGTGCTCTTGATGGTGTCGTTGCTCCAGCGCGCCAGCAGGTCACCCGCGTTGACGACCACCGTGTCGTCGATGGGTGTTGCGTCGACAAAGTTGCCGTTGGGGCTCTTGACCTGCAGCCCGCCACGACCGTCTTGGAACAGCAGCGTGATGGAGCCGTAGTCCGAGTGCTCGCCGGCGCGCACCTGGTTGGGATTGGCGCGGAAGACGCCGCGGTCAACCGCCGGGTAGTGCAGCAAGCGCAGCGTGTTGTCGCCGACGTCGACGTAGCTGTCAAAGTGGCTCTCGGACAGGCCCATGCCGACGGCAATGGCGCGCATCACTTCGATGTGGACGGCATTGCACTGGTCGTGGAAGTCGACCATGGTGGCCTTGAAGCCGGGGAGGCCCGCTGTCGTGGCGGCGGCCGTGGTCTCGTCGGGCCACTGGTTGGGGAAGTCCTCTTCGTGCTCGCGGCCGATCTCTATGCTCTCCTTGATGTCGGGCACGGCCTCTTTCAGCTTGGCGACGGCCGCCAGATCCGACAGCTGCGTGACCTTTTCCCGGCCCGGCGCCGAGTAGCCGCGGTTGGCCTCGGGCGTGGTCCAGCCGACGGCCATCTTGTCGTCAAGCGGCAGGCGGAAGAAGTTGGCCGACATGGCAAAGACGTGCTTGCGAGTCGCTGCCGCAATGGGCGTGTTCTTGAGATAGACGAAGCCGGCTGTCTGGAAGCCGTGCAATATGGCCTTGGCCGTCTCGGTGCGTTGGTCGGGCGTGCCGTTGAGGAACTTACTCAAGTCGATGAGCTGGGAAAGGAGAGTGTTGAATGCCGTCAGTCTATGCTGGAACAAACCAGGGTCCCAGCCGTACTCGTGAGCTCATCTTTGGAGCCAAATCTCCAAAACGACGTACCGGGATCAACAGCCCGTCATCAGACACGGCGGCTTTCTCCATAGCTAGTGTGAAGCTGGTTGGTATGGATGCCTTGCGGCGATACGATGCACAATGCGGGTTGGAACGAGGAATGTCGACGATCGTGAGAGTATGGAGTGAAGGGTGGGCAAAAGAGAAGAAAGGAGAGGATGCAGCCAAAGACAGCGTAGGGGATAGAGGGTGTGGCCGTTGGAAATAGCGAGGCGCCAGCCAAACAAAGGGCACAGAAGAAGGAGCAATCCAGCCCTTCGGCCACTTCCGAGATGCCTCACTATTTAAGAAGCGTTAAGCGGCCATCACCCTGCAATACGACCAATGACATGTAGATATATGTTGGAGCGTGCGACATACCCTGCTCTCTTAGGTCATTCGTCAATGTTGTGTCTGCCGGGTTTGCTCCCGACTGACTATGTCCACTGCAGCTACCGCATATCAACAGCGGACAGAGGAATGGCAAGCCACACGACAGGAATGCCCAAGATTCAGAGCTGATTGACACAACGGACCAGCTCAGCAGCCGACAACTTCCCCGCCCATGTGCCGTGACACGTTTTATCGCACAAGCCGCAGCACTCTGTGTTGTTGGCTGGGCGTCGAGCACCGACTGATAAGAGACGGCCGCTGCAAGTGTGTGGAGAAGCAACTGCACTAACAATGCTAATAAATGGGCAAGATAAGGCAAAATGCCATGTCCCAAAAAGGAAAGCGAGGTGGGGCAGACAGAGAACTTACCGGGAAGGTGCGCTGTAAGTGCAGGGGGAAGGTACGCTGGAACAACCCATCACGCATGACTAGCCCAGCCATGGAGTGGCCCGACGGTGTAAGTTATCTCGAGAGCCTGACGGGGATCGCCATCGTCGGTCCAAGCACCGTTAAGGCCCGATAAAGCTATGCAGTGAGATACGCGCTGTGTTGCGTGTGTGTCTTTCGTAAGAACGGCGTACAACGTACTGAGAGCTTTGTAAATTATTCGGGAAGCTGCGACGGGGCAAGAATCAAGGTTTTGCCGAATCAGGCAAGCCTCCAGACAACGCCCACATCCCCTCCTCAGTCCTCTCCTTCCCCTTCCATCTTGACATCGTCGACTTCACACTCCAAACATCACCAACCATGTCATCCAAAACACCCGTTGTGGACGTCCACACCCACATGTACCCCCCAGAGTACATCCAGATCCTCGAATCCCGCAATGACATCCCCATTGTGCGCTCGTTTCCGGGCACGTCCGACCCGCGCATCGTCCTGCTGTCGACCGAGGTGACGCCCCTCAAGGAGGCCGAAGCTGCCGCCGTGCGAGGCGAGGCACCGACCGTATCGTCGCTGCCGGGGCGGCCGCTGACGAGCCACTACGCCTCTGTCGCCCAGAAGCTCCACTTTATGGACACGCACGGCATTGACGTGTCTGTGCTGTCGCTCGCCAACCCATGGCTCGATTTCGTCGACAGCGACCAGGCCGGGGGACTCGCTGCCTCCGTCAACGCAGGCTTCTCGGCCATGTGCAAGGCACACCCGGGCCGCCTGTTCTTCTTCGCGGCGCTGCCTGTCACGGCGCCGACGCCCGTGCTGCTCCAGACCATCGCCGACATCGCCACGCTGCCCTACTGCCGCGGTGTTATTTTGGGCACAGGCGGTCTGGGCCAGGGACTCGACGACCCGGCCATGGAGCCCATTCTGGCCGCGCTGGCCGAGGCGGGGCTCGTCGTCTTCTTGCACCCGCACTACGGCCTGCCCGGCGAGGTGTGGGGCCCGCGTGGCGGCACGACCGGCGAGTACGGCCATGTGCTGCCACTGGCGCTCGGCTTCCCCATGGAGACAACCATCGCCGTGACGCGGCTCTTCCTGGCAGGCGTCTTCGACCGCCTGCCCAAGCTGCGTCTCCTGCTGGCCCACAGCGGCGGCACACTGCCGTTCCTGGCCGGCCGCATCGACTCGTGCGTACGTCACGACGCGCACCTGTGGAAGGCCGCCAAGACGCGCCGCAGCATCTGGGATGTGCTGCACGAGCAGGTGTACCTGGATGCCGTCGTGTACTCGGACGTGGGCCTGCAGGCGGCCATTGCGGCGTCGGGCGGTGCCAGCAGCGGCGGGCTGGACCGGCTGCTGTTTGGCACGGACCACCCCTTCTTCCCGCCGCTCGACAGCGATGAGCAGGGCCAGTGGGAGAGTGTCAGCATGAACGCCGACGCGGTCAAGAACGCCCTGGGCGACGGCAGTGAGGCGGCCGCTGCCGTCATGGGTGGCAACGCCGTGCGCATCCTCCGCCTGTACGAGGAGGCTGCGGAGAAGGCGTAATGGACCGGGGCTGGAACATAAATGATTTGCAATAAATGGCAACGTTAAAAACCTGTATATAGCGTCATACCTACCATCATAACCCACCACGCCTCATATGTATCCGGAATCCATCCTATCCTCCCCTCGTCATGCTCTCTGTCTACACACTGCCAAAGTCCATCTTCAGTGCAATCGTTGGCTGGTCGTTGTTGCTTGCCGCCGGCTTCGCCGCCGCCGCCTGCCGTCCGGCCTTAATCACCTCCTCCATAAACGACCGTTGGCTCTCGTTCAGCCCCGCCACCACGCCACGGAACGCTGCCGGGTCGGCCGACGCCAGCTCCAGGAGCCGCCCGCTCGTCTCCTTGTAGATCGTGTTGCGGTCGGCCTCGGCCGCCGCGCCCAGCTCGGCCTGCTGTGTGCTCAGGTTCGCCTCTTGCCACTTTTCGAGCTCACCGGCGGCGCGGGCCAAGAGGGCAGGGAGAACCAGCGCCGTTGCGACGGCCACGGAAGTGCGGTTGCCACCCGTGGCGCTGCCGTTGCTCGCCGTCGCCTGGGATGCTGCCTGCACCACAAACGCGTTCAAAGTCTGCGCGACAAGACTGCGCGCGCCCTCTGGGTCCTCGGGCTCGACGTTGGTGGCAAACGCCAGAAGGCGCGGCAGTAGGAAGCGGCCGATGCTCTGGTCGGCAACTGTGTTGCGGGTGTGCAGGAGGAGAGACCGGCAGCAGTTGGCTGCAATCTTTGCGGTCTAAACAGGTAGTTAGCAAAACGAGCAAAATAGTATTAATATACTGCAAAAGATAAAACCATAGAGAACGCACCATGCGGTCGGTCAGGCAGTCGAGAAGCTCGTCGAGGAAGCGCACGACCAGTGGGTCGTTGGTCGAGAGGTTGTTGTTGCCGGCCGTAAAGAGGATCGTAATGGCCAGCAGCGAGTTCTTGACACACGCCAGCGACGTCGCCGCTTCGCGCTTCTGTGCCGTCAGGTACACGGACAGGAACCGCCGCAGACAGCCGCGCATCTGCGCGTCAGTCTGTTCGTCGCCCGCGGCCGTTGATGTGGCCGTTGTAATGAACCGCTTGAGTGTCGGCAGCGCTTGCGGGACGACCACCTCTTGGCATGCCGGTGTCGCCAGGATCGTGGCAAAGATGTGCACGAGACACGCGTGCAGATCGGTACGAATAATGGCAGGGAAGACTTCGGCCGCGTCCACCAGCGCATCGAGGGCCGTCTTGATCAAAACCAAAACGGCCTCCTCGGTCATGTGGTACCGCATGGGCGGCGGGCCCGACGACCCTTGCGGCTGCTCCGACAGCGTCGGCAGCAGGCCGGACAGCACAAGCACGATAATGCGCGTCAGCTCAAACAGCTGCTCAATGTCCTCCGACAGCTCGCCCGTCTCCGGCTGTTCGCGCGTACGCGCCGCCGGGTGCGCCAGGCACAGCGCGCGGGCAATCTCAACAATGACGCCCTGCACGTCCAGGCCCTCCGTCAGCACCTGGCGGTCCAGCAGGTCCATTGTTTCCGAAAAGATCGCGTCGCGGTAGATGGCCTGGCCCGACACACTGGGGTGCAGGATCTTCTTAAGGGCCAGCAAGATCTCCAGCGTCTGGCCAGGCGTGGCCAGCGAGTCGGCGTGGCCCTGGCGCGCCGCCAGCGCCTCAAAGGCGATGCCGAACAGCACAAAGAAAAAGGCGACGGGCTCGTCGCGGTAGTTGATGTCCGGGCCCTTCTTCTTGCCTGTTTCGCGGCCGCCCCCGTCCGCGAGCGACACGGCGACCGCCTTTTCAATGTTCTTAGCCCGGTCGCCGTCGGCGTCGTCGTTTTCCTCAACCAGCTTGCCGTCCAGTGCATCAAAAACAAACTCGCTGTCCTGTTCAATCAGGCTGGCAATCGCATCCACCAGCTTCAGCCACGCCTCCTGGTAGAACGCCAGCAGCGTCTCACGGTTGAGCGCCGCATAGATCGTGTCGAGGCTGCCGGACAGCGAGGGAGGGCCCAGCGTCATCGAGATGTCCGGCTCGAAGCGCAGGCGCGCAAACTCGCGCAGCGACTCGAGCCACAGCGGCGTCAGCTTGCCAATGTGCGGCCGCAGCACATCCACCAGGTACTGCTGCTCAAGACTAGCGACCTGCAGCTCGGCCCAGGCCGCAAAGACGGACATCTTGACCATGACCTGGGCGTTGGCGCTGAGGCCCTTGAGGTCGCCGATGCCGATGTTGTCGCTGTCGGCCATAAAGCTCTCCAAGGCGCCCACAAGCGTCTTGAGGATGCGGCCCATACGGTCGACATCCGTCACAATGCCCGTGGCGACAAAGGCGGCACAGACGTGCACGGCCTCCGAGGCCAGCTCAGGCGACGAGTCGGCGGCAAACGCGGGCGTCAGCGCCGAGCTGATCTGTGCCTGGAACTGCTCGAGAATCATGGCTTCTTCAAAGTCGGGGTCCGGCGTCTTCCCGAACATGCGCAGCAGGGCGCCGACAATCTTGAGGCCCCAGATGCGCTGCTCCAGCACCGACGACGTCGAGGCCGAGAAGGCCATGCGCACGACGTCGGCAATCTTGCTCTGGAGCGCCGCCTGCGCCGGTGAAATGTCACCGCCCACGCTCGCCGTAGCGGCCGCGTCATTGCCGACGAGCAAGAACACTTCGTTCAGCAGGCTCAGCACAAAGGCCGTGATCTGCCAGCGCAGCGGCTCGACGTCCGATCCGGCTGCAGCCGTTCTCGCAGCGGTCGCGGCTGCCACGACCGCATTCGACGAGCTCGGCGCCCCGGTCGGCGCACTGCTTCCAGCAGCACCGCTTCCCGCGTCGGCAGCAGCGCCGCCACTAGACGAAGACGGGCCGCCGCCACCGTCACCCGGCTGGTCGCCGTCGTCTTTGTTGTGCCCGTCCTCGCGCTCGCCAGAACCTAGGCCGGCCACCTCTTCGTCCTGCAAGTCAATGGCCGTGCCGCGGAAGGCCGTCTTCTGGAACGTAGCAGCGAGGCGTGTCGTCTCCGGCACCTTGGGGCGGGTCATTTTGAGGACGCGCTGGAAGCGCTGCAGCCAGCCGTTGGTGTCGTGGAGGCAGGCCTGGCGCATCCAGTTGCGGAAGATGTTGCGGATGCCGTCGTGCGCCGGGTGGCGGTCAAGCACAAGCCACAGCTGGTCCTCGAGACCGGGCAGGGCAGCGGCCATGACTTCGTCGGCATTGCGCTTCATCAGATTGTACAGGCCATCGACGGCTGCGTCGCGCAAGCCCTGGTGGTCCGACTGCATATAGCGCTGCAGCAGCTTGACGTAGTCATTGAAATCGACATAGCCAGGCGCGTAGAGCGACAGGTGCTCCAGGCATGCCAAGCTGGAACGTTGGACTTGGCGGTCGTCCTCGTCCTGGAACTGGCGCACAAGCGTAAAGATGAGCTCGCGCGACTTGGTGGTCTCCTGCAGGTCGGGCCCCAGCACGTTGACGAGGGCGTCGACGCAGCGGGCAATGGCGGCGGTGGTGCTGAGGTCGAGCTCGAGGTTCATGGACACGGCGGACGCGACCTCGGCGTGGTGGTTCTCAGAGCCGTACAGTTGAGCGAGCATGCCGAGGGTGCTGGAGACGTAGCTCGAAAAGTTGAGGCCGGCAGCATCCGACGCGCGTGCAAAGGCCTCGAGGGCCCAGAAGTGCACCGTGGGGTGGGGGTCGTTGCAGAGCGACATCAGGATGCCCAGAATGGTCTTGAGATGGTAGCCGGCGGCCATGCCGCCGACTTTGGTCTGGATGCAGCCGAGGGCCATGGCACAGCCCGCACGCGCGCTCGGCTCGCGGTTGACGACAATGGTGTCGACCAAGTACTTGATTTCGTGGCTGGTGAAGGCGTTGCCGCAGGCGTTGCACAGGCGGCCGACGGCGGCGTAGCCGATGCTGCGGACGTACTGGTCCGGGTCGATGACGAAGCCACGCACCAGGTCCTGCAGCAGCTTCTCGACCTTTTGGTCGGTGATGTTGCCAGCGGGGGCGTGGGTCTCCTTGACGGCGACCTTAAGGGTGGAGAGCAACGCCACGGCGACGTTGACATTGATGGCGGTCTTGCGACCGGGGTCGCGCTGCAGCGAACCGGCCGACATGAACGTAGCGACCTGCTCGAGGATGCTCTCCTGGACCTTGGCAGGCGTGAGAGGGAAGACGTAGGCAAAGAGCTGGATAGCCAGGTTGACGACGTCGGTGGCGGGCGGGTCGGGAAGCAGTGTGCTGCTGGAGGCGCTGCCGTCGGCGCCGCGGACGACATTGCTCTCAACATAGAGCAGGGATGCATCGTGCTCGAATGCGCCGCAGACGGGAGACAGCAACAAGCTCTCGATGACGCCCTCGGGCCCCGCGGTCTCGTCCAGCGCCGACAAGAGCTGTTGCTGTTCCTCCTCCTCGGCAGCGTTCTTCTCGTGCTGCCCGGGCAGGCCGCGCACCTTGAATCCAGAGACGAGGCCCGTGACACCGAAGCCGGCGTTGTCCGCCACGTCCCAGATGGTCTCAAAGGTGCCGGCGGCGGTGGCAATGGATGCGCTGAGCGAGCCGGCGCCGTAGTTGTCCGGGTCCGCAAAGAAGGAGATGACGAGGGTCAGCAAGTTGGACTGCAGCAGAGCCTCGCTGCTGCCGGCGGGCGCCATGTTGATGAGGCGCAAATAGCACTGCAGCACACGGCGCTGGACCATGACGTCCAGGTCGTGCAGCTGCAGGGCGGGGGTCAGGCGCTGCGACATGTCGTCGGTGACCTTGCGGGGGGGCAGCGTGCGCAGGAAAGCAGTCGTGTGCTGCAGCATGGCGGCGATGCGCTTGGACACGTCGACGGTCAGCAGGCGGCTGTTGTACTGCAAAAAGGCGAGGATGGAGCCGAGCGCACAGTCGCGCACGTGCGTCAAAAAGGACGTCTCGAGGTAGTTGCGCGACGCAACGTTGTCCTTGGCCAACGGCTTGGGCAGGGCGTTCTTCCACAGCAGCAGCATCTGCGAGAGGTGGATCTTGACAAAGTTGGGGCCGAGGGACATGAGGCCGCCAATGAGGATCCAGGCGACCTGGATCTGGACGCTGGCCACGCGCAGCTCCAGCTTGCCGCTCGTCTTGAGCAGATTCGTAGCCATGGTGAGGACGCGGCTGTTGATATCGACCGAGCCGTACAGCGGGCGCTGGGGACTGGCGCTGAGGGTGGCAGCCAGACCGTACGAGAACCCGAGGCAGCGGCGGTGCTGGTGGGTGCTGCTGCCGCCGGCGCCACTCAGCTGGCCCAGCTCGCGCGTGAGGCTGTTCATGCACACGGACAGACAGGGCAGCAGCTGCTGCGGGCAGGCGAGCACAAAGGCTTTGAGACAGGCGGCGGCGTGGACCTGCACGCTGTAGGTTGGGTGGGGCAGCAGCTGCAGGAGACCGTCGCGGCAGGACTCGGCAAAGCTGTTGGCGGCCGAGCCCAACGAGGCGACAAGCGACGCCAGAGCGCCGAGGGTAACGACGAGGGTGTGTTTGCTAGGCTCGGGGCGCTCCTTGATGACCTGGGGGTAGTTTTTCAGGACGTCGTTGACGAGGGCCTTGGCGGCGGCGATCTGGCCGGCCTCGCTCAGAATGCGGCGGCTGACAATGTCCTGCACAATCGTGTCAACAATACGGCGCGAGACGAGCAGGCGGTAGCGGTTGTTGGCAATGTTGGCGTGGCCGAGCAGGTCGACGGACAGGTTCTCAATGATTTTGAGGTAGTTGAGCTCGACGGCCTTCTCGCCGAGACGCTGCAGCACGCGGCCGTAGCAGATGCCAAGGGCGGCGCGGGCACGGTTCGTTGTGGACAGACGGACGTAGTGCGCGGAGAGCGTCTTGAGCAGATCGACGAGCGGCAGAGACAGCACGTTGTGGCTGCTGCGCGAGGGGCCTGGGCTGCTCGCACGCGAGCCGGGCAGGTCGTCGTCGTCCTGCAGGCCGGCCGGGAGGGTCGACTGCCGCTTGAGCGCCTTGGGCAGCACCGCTTTGCGCGTGGACATGGCACGTCCCAGTCCACCACCCCCGCCATCGCTGCCGCCGCCGATGCCGCCACTGCCGCCACCGACGGCCTCGGCGTAGCCCTTGACCATGGCCTCCACGAGGCAGTCGGCGGCAGCACGACGCACGTGGGGAGATGGAGAATCAATCGTCTTGAAGATGGTCTTGCTGAGGCTGTCAAAGTCGCTCGACGTGTCAAAGTACGTCGTGTAGCGCACAAGCGCAATCAGACAGCGGCACGCGGCTACGGACACGAGGGCGCCCTTGTCGCCCGAGGCATGGCTGCGTGCCTGCTTCCACATGTCGCGGGCAATGCTCTCGTCGGTGCTCGTGCCGATGCAGGTTACAAGCTTAGAAAAGGCCACAAACACGGCCGCGCGCAGCCCCGCGTGGTTCTGCGCCGCCTTGAGCATCTTCATGAGCGTGGCGGTCGTCAGCTGGTGCAGGCTGATGGCGCTGTCGCCGGCGGCACCAAAGACATCACCGAGACAGACGACGGCCGCTTGTTTCGTGCGGTTCGACGCCTCGGCCGCCGAGATCCCGCCGGAGCTGCTGCCTGCACTGGCGTCTGCAGTCCGCACCTTGACGCCGCCGTTGGCAATGACCGCGTTGAGGTCGTTGATGGTCTCGAACAGCAGCTTGCGGTCGCCCTTGCCGAGAACGTGTGCCAGGCAGCGGCCGAGCGTGTTGCGGACGACGCGTGATGGCGGCGGCGTCGTGAGATTGAGGATCTTGAAGATTTCCTTCTTGAGGTAGATTTGCTGGGCCGTGCAGTCGTCCGGCTCGAGCACACGCACGTGGGCGTCGAGGTTGGCCGCGAACTGCAGCAGCGTCAGCTCCTGCTGCTCGACAGGCAGGTTGGCCAGGTGCATGGTGTCGAGCTCGGGGTGTGGGCTGGTCGATGCGGCGGCCGCGTTCGTCGTGGCAGCCGTGGCAGCTGCTGCTGCTGCTGCAACTGCCGCGACGGCGGCTGCATCATCGGCACCACCGCCGTTGCTGGCCTGCGGGCCATCAGGGGCCGGCGAGGCAGCCGTTGCCATGAGAGAAGGTGACAGAGGTAGGGGTGAGACGGTCAATATGATTTAAGAAAAAAAAGGTGCTGAGTTCCAGGAGGTAGAGATCGAGGAAGTCGAGATCGAGGTAGGCGTGCGAGGGACGGTCAAGGGCAAGCCGAAAAGGGAGGCACAACGATACGAGGTTGCAAGTGGAATTGGCCGCTTGTCCAAGTCGCTATTGGTCAACAACAGTCTTCGTCGTCGATGGTGAGAGGCAGAAACGATGCTGCTGAGTGGGTGACAGGCGGAATCCCAAAAAGGGGTCGTTTCTCCAAGCTCGATCGTGTGTGCAGCTTCCTCCTTCGATCGAGTTGACCAGCCGCACCTTCCATCCGGAGAGGTGTTGTTCTCAGAGGCTTGAGTAGCGCTTTCCAGCCAATCAGGCGCCTGGATCCACAGTCCCCTCCACAGAGCTCCAGCGGCAGGAGCAGCCCACGAGCGCCTGCCTTTAGCGGGGCAGCACCGGAACCAGACAGGAAAAATTATTGCGCCACAGCGAGCTGCTCACAGCGGTCTTTCATGGAAGCGATAGTGGCTCAAGCGCTAACAGGCCTGAAGAAAACGACATCTCTGAGCTTCACTTGTCGCGATAATCGACGCAATGCCTCCAATCTCGCCCTCTCTCGCGAGCCTCAGAGCGGCGCCGTCCCCATGGACACGGTACGCCTGCGCGCAATGCTGCCGAAGCTTTGGCTCGTCACCAGTCGTTGCCAGCGGCCACAATCGTTGGTCCAAGATCCGGCATGAAAAGGGCGCCGCCGATATCAAGAAGACACAGCTGCGCAGCAACTTTACCAAGACGATTACGCTGTATTCACAGAGTGAGTTGGGATTAATTGGGGGGGCTCCTATTTTATGTGTTCCCTAGGCTGACAGTTGCAGTGTACGGCCCCGACGTCAACATGAACCCGCAGCTGGCGTCGGTTGTCAGCAGCGCCAAAAAGTCGGGCGTGCCCAAGGCCGTCATCGAGGCGGCAATTGCCCGCGGCCAGGGCAAGTCAGCCGACGGCGGGCGTCTTGAGAGTGCCACGTACGAGATCATGATGCCGCCGTCCGTGGCGCTGATTGTCGATCTCGAAACAGAGAGCAAGGCGCGCGCGCTGCAGGAGCTCAACTCGGTCATCCGACGGAAAGGCGGCACCATGGCACCGACCAAGTTCTTTTTCACACGGCAAGGACGGGTGATCCTGGGGCCGGCGGCATCTGCGACTGCATCTACATCGGAAGGGGAGTCGACTGGCGAGGATGTCGCGCCCGTATCCGTGGACGACATCTTGGAGGACGCCATCGAGGCCGGCGCCGAAGACGTCGAGACCAACGAAGACGGCAACATTGTCGTGTGGACGGCGCCTCTGCACACAGGGCCGGTTGTCACCGCCGTCGAGGAGGGCCGCTTCAAGGTGAAGAACCTGGCCGTCCTGAGCGCCGACACCGTGTGGTCTGCAAACGAAGAGACGCAGGCACCGCTGGGAGACGGCACCGGAAACAGCGCCGTGGAGAACCGCAAACTGCTCGAGCTCGTCGCGGCTTTCCGCGCATACCCCGACGTTAAGGGCATATTTTCCAATGTGACCCAGGGCCGGGCGCCGGATGACGTGTGGCAGCAACTGGTGCAAGACCTAGACTGGTAGTGACTGGTGACATAATAGAGTGAAGATAGACGGGGCCCGGTATCTCTGTATATACAACATTTTCCAACAAGGAACAAATTACTTCTGACAGTACAAGAACAAATATCACATTGAAACCTCCCGTGCCAATATTCAATTTTGTGGTCCCGTGCGCCATCTTCTCCGAGAAACGTAAAAGCAAAATAACGCCGTCGATATGATGTTATGTCGTGTTGCCCACTCCTCCCTCCCCTTCTTCGAGTCTTCAGTGTCCCTCCTCGCTGTCGGCCGGCGGCGGTGGTCGTGCTGCCTCTTCAGCCAGTCGTCGGTCCCGCTGGTACAGCCGGCGTGCCCGCAACCGCTGCAGCTCCGCGTGGATCTCGTCGCGCTCGGTCGGGACGCGGTTGGCGTTCTCCGGCTTGGGCCAGAAGTCGGGCACGGCGAAGCGGTCGTCGAGGTTTGTGCCAAAGTAGTACATGATGCCAATGGGGAACATGACATACATGCCAAACTGGGTAGGGAGGAGAAGACACAGCAAAGTTAGCGGGGGTCGCATGATCGCAAAACGAGACGAGACACAGAATCAGAATAGCAACCAACCTTGAACACTTCCAGATTTAAGCCACCCATGATGTCTGCCGCCGTTGTGAGGTGCCAGGGAGGTACAGATGCGGTCGAGGTTTGTGTTATTGCGCAGCAAGACGTCGTGCGAAAAGAAGCGACGTCGAAGCTCGTGGGTGGTGTGTCTTGGCCAAAGAAAAGTTGAAGGCAACGAGCCCATTGGCGGGTCGCATTTCACCAAAAGCCGACTCCGTATAGCAGATCCCTAATAACACTGTGCAAGCCGCACAATTAGGCGCAAATTGGCCGTCACTGAAACAACTCCCCACTGTATTGACAACTTTCCAAAAACGCTAATAAATACAAAGGTAATACGGAGTCCGATCTGAAAAGCAAAGCATTCGAAGCCCCCATAAAAGATAAGTCTATGTGATTTTCTAACCCGCACGCTCCCATCCGAAATAAACCAAATACACCAGCCCGGCAGCCCGTTTTCCTGTCCTCCAGCCTATCCGCAGTATATAGGCAGTGGTCCGTAGGCCATAAAATCCCAAAGCAAATAAAATAACGAAAGCGTAGAGAAAGGTGAAAAGTAAGAGTATTAAAAAGGATGTAACAATAATGCCACTGCAACGCAAGAACAATGTTATGTTGCTCATCGCTTGCTCTTGTCGGGACAACTCTTGGTCACGCGCCATGCGGCAATGCCGCGCCGCCCGACCACCCGTGACAGCGTGTTCCACACGCCATCGTCGCCCCAGTCCAAGTCGTCCAGGTTCAGATGTTGGCGGTAGCGCCATACCTCGCGGAAGCGCAGGCCCTCGAGGCCCTTGTTGGGCAGGTACTGGTCGAGCCACGTCGCCGACAGCGGTGCGATCAGGTAGGTGCCGTTCTTCTCCTTGAGGTACTCGTTGTTGCGCCGGTCCGCCGGGGTGTCGCACGTCGCCAGCGCCGTCAGCTGCTCCATGAGCTGGTCGCCCGGCAGACCCATGACGTCGCGTGTCTGTAGCACTTCGTTCTTGCCGTTCAGCAGCCATATCGGTGGGCTGTACGTCTTCCACCAGATCGCCTGTGTCGCGTCCGGCTGCCGGCTCATGAAAATCTGCGTCGGCACAATGCCGCCCTGGTGATACACACCCATCAGGATGCCAAGGAGCACGTTGAATGCGATCCACGCAGACACCCAAGCATGCAGCAGGCGCGAGTTGCGCGGCAGCTGCACCGAGGACAGGATCAGCGGGATCGTAGGCAGCAAGAAGCGTGCCTCTTGGTGCTGGAAAATCGACAGCACAAAAATACCCGACACGGCCGAATAGAGCCGCAGGGACAGGTGCGGTTGGAGGAAAAGAAGCGCTGCCGCCGGGCCGATCAGCAGGGGAATGTTGGCCAGCAGGTGCTGGTACCAGGGATGCAGACCGTGCTCGGCAAGGTTTGCGGGCGAAATGTTGTAGAGGAGGTTGTTGAGAGGTGTGATAACGGGGTGGAAAAGCAGGTCTCCCCAGGAAATCTGGTGCGGCGTGTAGAAGGCAGTATCGAAGGCGATGGCGACAATTGTCGTCAAAAGGCCCGACAGAGCAAGTGCGGTAAAAGATAACGGTCTATTGGAGGAAGGACAGTTAGCAATGTCATTCGCACCAGATCGAGTCACCCGGGGGGGGATGCTGCGCCATACCTATTAATAAAGTAAGGTATCAAACGAAGGCCGGGAATCAGCAAAAAGGCAGGGAAAGTTATTCTGTTGAATATGCCAAACACCACAACAATGCCCAGGATCGAAGGGGCGAGCACCGAAGCACGGTCTTGGCGCCCTTCGACGATGCGGTCGATCAGGACCAGACTCCAGGCAACCACGAGCGTCTCAACCGAGTTCGAAAACGTGTGTGTCTGGTAGGTCCAGGTCACGTACGACGACGCGACAAGAACAACCGCAGTCTGCCGGTGACGCTTGGCCGGCACCAGCTCGTAGATCGCCCAGTCGAGCAGCACAAAGTTCATGACGAACATGAGGAGGCGCAAGACCCAGAATACGACATGCGGGGGGATTTCGCCGTCGCCGCCGTTGCCGATCCATAGCCAGCGCAAAAGGAACATCGGGAGGCCGTACACCGGCCATAATGGGAAGACGCTTCGGATCGGGTGGTCGCTCGTGAACTCCCAGGTGAGTCGGACGGGGTAGCTAAACACTTCGCCTGGAAACAAAGAAGTCGGGTTAGCACGGCAAGCTCTGGGCAACGCGACACTGAACGAACAAAGAACGAGGCCACAAAGTGTCCCGTCCGGGGCAAGCGCGAAAGAGAGCTTCGGTAGAGAGACATGGGGAGCTCCGTTTCCCCCACGGGTACAACACGCAAGGAATGTTGCGTCCGCTGATCCTCTCCAAACACAACTCCGCCCTTGCCCCAACGAAAACAAAAGCCACCCCCCAGGTGCTTGGGGAAGTAAATAAACGGATTTGCGCTTGTCTTACCAGCGATCACTTCCGGTCCTTGGAAGTTCTCGTCCGGGTGCAGATAGCTTGGCGACATGGCGAACCACAGCCGCACCAGGATGAGGATGAGGTATGTTCGGCGCCACATTGTGGGCGAGAGGTGCCAGAGGAATTGGGAGGAAAGAGACAAGTAAAGAAGTCGTGAAGGAGAGTCGAGAAGGAGGAATAGGATCGATAGGAAGGAAAGAAAGGTGTCGCGAGCGTTATCAATAGACGACTAGGAACACACACGAAAAGTCGATGGTATGGTATTGTCGTCGAACGGAAAGGGCCAGAGTGGTATCGAGAAGAGAACGATGCGATGCGCGTCGAGAGTATTCAAGGTGAATGCGAGCGGCTCTACCTTACAGGCAAAGCTTCGAAGCCGAAGGTGAGGCCGAGGCCGCAAACAAGTCGTAACCGCACTCGAGCTGCGGCGACAACAGCAAAGGCATCGTTAGATAGACGAGGCCACTGGGAGACGCAACGGCGTCATAGTCAGGAGCCCCCAGTTGAGAGTGTGCGCGCCGGTTGTGCGTGAGGCGAGGTGGCAGACAAAGGAGGCAAAAGCGGCCGTCGACTGTTGGTTGTTGGTGAGAATAAAAATAAGGGGAAGAGGCCCGGATTTTCAGAACGAGGAAATGAAGTAAATCTGGCAGGCCTGGAACTTGGAAGGAGCGACGCACGGTGAGTTGACCGCGGAAGGACAAAACACGCGATTCGAGCGCCTTCCCTGTCGAGACCGAGTGCGCTGTAACCCTTGTCGGGCAGGAAAGGGGGATCCTCGAAAAGGAGACAGATCAACAAAACCGGAGCTGCAGCAAGTCAATAACAAAAATAATGAACTGGGTAGTATTAGTAAATAGACCGCTAGCTTGCTCCGCAAATTAATTAACAGGTGGTATTAGTGTGGTGCAAGACACGGCGCCTGCATCCGTCAGCCGTCGCGGGACGCGCTGGCAGTGGCGAGTGCTTGTTTTAGCGGTTGCAGCAGGTCGTTGCAGCGAACCAGAGACCTGTATTGGCCCAAAACAGCCGCTATCTTACCCATCGTCCATGCGACTCTGTAAAGAGCGTGCATTCCACTCATTGAAACCTTCCCCAACGGGGCCTTGTCACTGCTATGAGCGAACTAGGCTGCAAACGAACAGGCCTGAAAGCGGCAAAATAGGAAAGACACCGGGTAGGTGCTTGGGAAGTGAAGAGCCACCAGAAATCGACCACATGGCGATGTCAACTGGCCAGCAGGTCGCACCTGCTCTGGGAAATCTGATTCACGAGACACACCGCTGTAAGCTTTTCTCGTGGCCTCGTCTTATCTCATGATTCTCCTAACTTTCGTACGTCTGACCGTCTTAGCCCTAGGACAGGATCGTGTAAGACGGTTGCCGTTCCAAATCATGGCAAGCTCACTCTCGTTTTATGACACGTTTTTTTGTGAATCTGCCAACGACTGGCCGAGTTCATTTCATCATCATAAAGACACAATATGTTCATGCGCACAGCTGTCAATACGTCTTTCAAAGGATACCGCAGTTAGAACACCTACCGTACAAACAAAACCTGTCCCTTTCCGAACCCGGCACAAGGCAGAAAGACTGCGATATTCGTCTCTCACCATTAGTCGCGGTCCCGTCGTATTCCAGGCAGAGACGGCAGCGACACGGACATAGTGTCCGCCAGATGCAGCGCAGCCTGCCCGGTTGCGGTCTCATTGCCAGGGGGCGGGTGCCCGACCACAAAGCCAAAGCCCCTACAGTCGGTGCCTAACTCTTTCAGCCACAGGCGGGGAATACGGGTCTTTGTGGACTTCGTAAATTGTAGTCTTTGAAGTCTTTGTCGTCTTTGTAACTTACAGCACGCATCAGGGACCAACTGGCAATTCCAGCCAGCCTGGCTCACTTCCTCCACGCTTTCTGCCTCGTCTAGCGCGAGGTCAACAGACGTCAGGGTCGTAAATCGTATGCAGGCACAGCCAAAGCCACGAAAATGAACTCCCTTTTTTGTTGGTAATAGGAGAAGTAAGCATTCAATATTAGGATATAAAGTCCCCCTGGATGTCGTCGCAACGGACAGGAAACTCGGACAGGAAACTACAATCAGCGAACCATCTCACCAACTGCTCCTGCCCCGAATCAAGTCCTCTAATACGGAGTATTACAGCCCCTCGGAGCCAATCACTACACAGGCAGCAGCGACCCACTACACGCCACCTGTGGCTTACCCATTTTTTCCGGCCGTCTTCGCCGCCCTTCTATTCTACTTTGAACATCATCGCCCCCTCCACAGCTCACATCATCGCTTCTCTCCCACAAACTTTAAATCGAGGCTCTTCTTCTATCCACCACCATCATCACGTACCCCGACAACAAATTAACGACATCACCCAGTTTCCACGTGCAGTTTATTGCGGCATCCCATTGCAACCTGTGAGTTTGTCTTCCCTTCCAGGCTCGCCCCGCACTCGTAGCAGCCTCCCGTGTTGTCAAGCCCGTCCTTTGTCGACCCGTTCAGCCTTCTCTGCCGCATCGCGAAAATACCATCTCGAAAAGCTACGAAGACCTAGCATATTCTGTGCATTGCACAACCACGCCGTACCGCTTGCTTTGCTCACTTCGCCGACGCCGTTGCCCGCTCACAATCTTTGAGACATGCCATCAAATTGAACTTGGCGTCGCTATCTGTTTCCTGGTATTGTATCTAACAAGCCTTTTACAAACAGACCTGTTAACAAAATTAACTCTCGTTGACCGACAAAATGCCCGAGGAGAAGTCTTTCGATAAGATCCCGCTCCAGAGCAACGATGGCAGCGTCATCACTGTCGACTACGAGGTTGCCATCCGCTCCGCGCTGCTTAGCACGATGCTGGAGGATTTGAAGAGCATGGGTGTCTCTGAACTCGGCCCTGTCCCTCTGCCCAACGTGCGTTTCCATTTGACCCAACTGACGTTTTCCGTTCCCGGAGTTTTTGCTAACCACGTGCCTTTCGTCCAGGTCAACGAGGCCGTTCTCCGCAAGGTCATTGAGTACTGCGAGCACCACCGCAACGACCCCCTTGGCACCAACGAGGAGGAGACCGAGAGCCGCAAGAAGACCACCGATATTGAAGAGTGGGACCAGAAGTTCATGCAGGTCGATCAGGAGATGCTCTTTGAGATCATCCTGGTACGTAAACCCTGTTTTCTGTCGTTTTATCTGTGGTTGTATACGTTGTGCACGTTATTCCTTGCTAACACCTTTCTTGCATTCAGGCCGCCAACTACATGGACATCAAGGCCCTTCTTGACGTCGGCTGCAAGACGGTCGCCAACATGATCAAGGGCAAGTCGCCGGAGGAGATCCGCAAGACCTTCAACATCACCAACGACTTCACCCCCGAGGAGGAGGAGCAGATCCGGAGAGAGAACGAGTGGGCCGAGGACCGCTAAGCTGCGCAAGTATGGTGAACGAGTCTAGTGAACGAGTCTGGTGAACGAGTCCGGAAACGGATAACGTGTGTCCAGTATTGTTGGCTGTTGTCTGCCGGTGAATCTTTTGTTCTGGCTCTTGTATGTCTTTTACGTTTTATTTCCTATACCTTTTGTTCTGGGTTAAGCGGTCAAAGGAGGTGCCATAGGTTCTCTGTACCGAATGTATTTCTTCAATTCAAACCGATAGTAGTTCGCGGGTTAATAAGACCGATATAACTTGCTTCACTTCTCTTATCCGTATTCTCATATGATTTGATACTAATGGCATGCGCGGTGCCGGTATCTGCTCCTGAAGAAATGACTAGAAGCATTTTACTACCAAACAGACAAAGATGACAACAGTTGGCCTTCCGTATGCGGACAAAGGAGATGCGTCAAAGAAAAAGAGGCGTGGTTCCGGCTTCCGGATCTGTTCGTTCTATTGATATTCGAGCTGCAAGCTGGACTCTGCAAACCACCAGACTCCTTTCGGCGTTGTCCTCTCCATTTTTAAAAGTGGCCGGTTTCCAACAGTCCTTTTGGTTAGAAGCGGACTGGTTTAAGAACGCTACGTGATATCAAAGCTTCATAACACGAAAAGGGTGATGTACTCTGAAGTCGCCATACGCCGTTGCAGAGCGTCACCATTCGTTTACGACACGGCTACGAGCAAAGGTAGATTGGTCGGGAAAACACGCGATTTTTTTGATTTTTTTTTCAATGTCTTGCTGTTTTTTTATTCATTTCCTTTTCCGTAAAAAAAGTTCTGATATCAATGTCAGAAGGTAAACAATAAATATACCCGTTTATTCCCAGTTTTGGATGCCGTCAACTCCTCCCTTCATTTTCTCCACACAAGAACATGGTTTCGGTCTTTCCTCTCGGTATTTCCGAAGAGGTCATTCGTAAGAAAAGGAAGCACACATCCTTCGTGAGACTCTCATGGAGTAGGGCGTAGAAAAAGGAGGCCGAATAGAGTGAGCAAGAATAATTGAGCAGAGCTTCCAAAGGAACACCTTGGTAGGGCCACAGGCCATTCACATTCCGCAGCGCCAGGTGCCGTCCCCAACCGCGTTGAGTCGTATATCGTTGTCATGTCAATCGTCGTTGTTGGGCGCAGCACAGAAGAGTACCATACAACCGTCCGTGCCAAGCAAGGTAATGGCCGTAGGCCGCTGCAGTTTGGAAAATGGATGACGGCGTCGCATATTCGCTAGCCGTCGTCTTGTCGCAAAATCGAGTGTGGTCCGTTCCCAGAATACTGATGCTCCTCGCCCGCCTGTCTCGGCTTCTTCCCAAGCCCTCATTCCTCGTCACACCCCCAGCTCCCGGACACAATATGGGTAAACATTTAGATGCCCAGGCGGGTCTTGCGCCAGTGTCTCCGCTTCGCGTTGTAGCTGAAAGGATGTTAGTTTCAGTAGACTAGACGGTATGGTGCATTCCTGCATCGCATCGACAGGGTATGGGTTTCGTTCATCGTACCGAATGGTGTTGCCGGTCCGGAGACGGATCCACTGGGGGATCGGGCGGTTTTGCTTCTGCGCCTTGGCGAGCTTCTGCTTGGTGCGGAAAGACTTGTGGCTCTGCAAGGAGGGGAAAGAACATGTCAGTCAACGTTCAGGGCAGTCTTATGACTTTAACATCCAACAGTTCATCGTCGTCCGGTCGGCTCTGTTGTTTCGGCTTGTCCAGTCGTCGCTCTCTTTCCTCCTCAATCGGTGGTTTCAGGCGTGTCTCTGATCGTCCGTCCCCGTGCAAAGAGGCTATATGACGGAAGCCTCGTCATGGGCCGAAGATGTTGCGAGCAGTAAGAGCCAATTTTCGCAATCGCAAATGTCGAGGAGGATGTCGGTTTGTCGAGCAAAGAAAACAACAGAGCGTTCCGTTTGTACGTGTCCGTGTCATATTCATCGTCTGTCCCACCATCAAAAAACAATTATACGTACCGGCATCTTGACTGATTGTTGATTCTGTCGTTGATTCCGAAAGAAAATTATGGTAGGTTGCTGGATTGAAGGTCGGAAGAAAGGCGTCAGGGAGGGGGTTCCGTACAATCATCGATTTTTTTTCTCCTACCCAGATTTGCCCACAACGCAACGCCCCAAACTAAAATTTCGTGCGCAGGTTTCCTAATACTCCACTTTTCTCTCTTTCGGACAAACTTTTTTGCCTTCCTTTCTTTCGTTGTGATTAGTCACCGTTAGCAGGTTGTCACGTGCATCATTTGTAGACACCTCCATGCCAAAAGGCTGTGAAGGGATCCACCGTAATAAGATGTACGGCACGTGCAGCTTACCCGCCTGTGGAATGCTCGATATAGGCGGCACGAAAGAATACATAGCTGGCCAGGCCACTGTTCGCGACACTGAGGCCCCGGAGGAGCCGCTGTCGCATTCCTTCTCCCAGTGCGGATAGTAGTAAGCTTTACTAATCCTAAAGTTTTTGCACAGGCCTCCATTAGCGCACTGCACGCCACCAACGCCCCATCGACAGAAGCGTCGCCGATCCCTGTCTCGCGAAATCGAGGCTCATTTCTTCGAAAATCAAAAGCATCACCAACAAAAAGCTAGAGTCCCAACGGCTCAGGAACCACCCCCTGCTTTTTCATACGCTTCTTCTGCATTTTCCGTTTCTACACGCCCTGCATCCATTTACATCCATATCCTGCAAGCTGCCATTTTCACGACTTTTGACGACCTTTTGCTTCACGAAGCAAATCTACGGCGAAGAGACATTGTCTCTCCCCCCATTTACGACTTCGGCCCCGACGGCGATTCTCTGACCTCTGAACTTAGTCCAGAGCTTCTGCCTCCCATCTATATATCCCAGCGACGAAATAGCGGGCCAATCAGCCTCCTCTTCGAAGAGATAACACCTCCAGACGGACTGAGCAGCAGAAACGAAGAGACGGCATCGTTTTACCGGAAAGTTCCAGAAACAAAACACATCAAAGCCGTGCGTGCGACAGGCGAAGGGAGGTCACGACGAGGATCCTCTCGGGAACACAGTGTCCCATTTCAACGCCCTCGTCGATTAGGGCAGGCAAAGTCGCGGCACTCCGCGCACCGAAACCGCAAGGATGGGTCAAAGCGTGTCGAGCAGCATGTCATGGCTGACAAGCTTGCTGTTCTCCAAAAAGGAAATCCGGATCTTGATCCTGGGACTGGTACGATTTTGCTTTGTTCTGTTGCCAAGGGAAAGCACGAGAGTGAGGTGGACAGTAGAGGGTTATGGACCAGACAGGTAACTGACGTTTTCTGCTACTAGGACAACGCTGGCAAGACAACACTCCTGTACCGGCTCAAGATTGGCGAGGTGGTCACAACGATCCCGACAATCGGCTTTAACGTCGAGTCCGTGACATACAAGAACCTCAACTTTAACGTGTGGGATCTCGGCGGCCAGACGTCTATCCGGCCCTACTGGCGGTGCTACTACGCGAATACCTCGGCGGTGGTGTTCGTGGTCGACTCGACAGACATCGAGCGGCTGCAGACGGCGGCCGACGAGCTGGCGGGCATGCTGAACGAGGAGGAGCTCAAGGATGCGGCGCTGCTGGTGTTTGCCAACAAGCAGGACCAGCCGGGGGCCAAGGGCGCAGCAGACATTAGCGAGGCGCTGCAGCTGGGCCAGCTGCGGGACCGCAACTGGACAATCATAGCCTGCTCTGCGGTCGATGGCACGGGCGTGAACGAGGGCATGGACTGGCTAGTGGTAAGTTGAGGAGGTGGGAGGAGATGCTGCGACGACGATACAAGAATGAACGTACGAGACTAACACGCACAAAGCAAACCGTTCAGCAAGAGTAAAGAACGCTCTGTTCTTTTCACACCGACATACTTGACGACGAACGACCAACGAACGAACCCCCTTTTCGGAAGACCTCTGCCGAGTGTCTCCTCGTAGACCGATCCTGCAAATGACAGATGGTGCAGCAGTATGGAAGTATCCCGGGTCTGGACAAACGTCCACTCACGGCTCCATGAATAGGGGTACACAAACCGATATGCACGTCTTTTAGATTGCGGCGACTTGGAGGAGGTACTGGCAGACGAGGCGTTTTCTTATTTACTCTTAATTCACAGTAGCAATGGTTTTAATACTTTCACGCAGAGGCAAGATGAACGGAGTCTGTCGCGTCCGGTGGACGGGCTTCGCGGCCTCTGCTTTTCACTCTTCTAACCCCTCTTTGTATCAGGCTTCTTTGGATAGGCCGCGGTGGCCTTGGTTTCGTCCTCTTTTTGCTTCATTTTATCATTACATAGATCGCTGCATTATTATATTTTCTGAACATAGCAATGACTACAACATACATATTGTTCATACACTTCATTGCCAGCCGTGTATACGCAGTCCCATCCTTGGGAATGTCAAAGTAGGTAGACTACAATGGACCATCCGGACCCAGAATATGCCGTCACATCAAACTCCATCAAATCACCCCAGCAGGCATGCTGCGGTCTCCGCGTGCAAGACAACAGTCAGCAGCACCACTTTTAACGGAACCGACACGCATAACAGTGCAGTCGGCTTGTCTCGGCCGAACTTGTTGGGGGTAGGCAATTTGGTTTTTGGCGAGTAAGCTGTCTTGTATCCCACCATTCCCAACATCGGCGTCTGAGCCGGGATCTGAACGGCCTGGATGTCTGCCCAGCTTTCACCCCCATATTAATTCAAAGTGCTGGCAATGTATCGGTCATGGAACGACATAGTGCCGACGTAAACCCGGGTTACAAGAAGCAAGACGCGTGGTCCTGTGACTTGGTGAGATGGTTGCACGTCTGGGCAGTGTAGCTCTTTATTTGAATGTATACTAATCAGTCATAAGTTCCAACCTTTAGAACGTATTTAAAACAGGGTATACGTTGGACTCAATATCTCAAAAAAATAAAATAAAAAAGAAATTCCAAATAAAATCTGTAAAACGACCAACTCGCCGCAAAAGAAAAATAAAAATAAAATAAAATCGGCTTAATAAAAGACAGTAATTGATCGACAACGGTTGACTGGATCGGGTACATAGGCACTCTTTGATGATGATGTATTCCATTTCCCCAAGGCCACCGCATGTTCTAGCTTACCTCGCCAGTTGTCCCAACGGCTGCTTTCGCTTCTAAATGCAAAGCTGCCATTGGCCCAAACCACAGCCCGTTATTTTGGATCCGTTGCACTCGCTCTTCTGTACGAAATATCCTTTCGGTCTTTGTCCGCTGTCGTCCATATTCCCTGTAGTCTCCGTCCGTCCGTCCTTTTGTCTTGTGCACAGCAGCACAGCTAGCATGCTTTACTTGTCAGCGCAGGCTGGGGATGGTTGCATCGTTCGTTGTTGCGCTTTTGTGGGGCCGCGCCTTACATGTCGTCACCGGCATTTGGTGTAAGTCGGGATTTAACAAGGAACGAGGTACCCTTTCTGTTTGGTGCGTGATGAGGCGACTTTTGTTAAGCTGTCGGCAAGAGCTATTTCATGGGTACTCTTTCTCAAGGGAGGAAAGAGCGATACAGTCCTGGTAACAGACGTCATAGTATCCCGAGGACGACTCTCATGGGCAAGAGAGATGGAGACGGCAAAGGGAAAGCACCAAATCACCCCAATGTAGTCAGCTATGACGGAAGAAGAAAGAACTGCTTAGACATGCCCTGTACACCTTCTCTGTGTGGCTATATATGGCTTCTCCTTTGCTGCCAGCAACTAGGTGGTCGTTTGTTCCTTCCTACCCTCGTACCATTGTATTGGAAGGCAGCTCCAGAGCGTCACGACATTCAAAAGGTAGCATCACGATACAATACCAAAATCTAAATCAGACCACCAACACGTACACGACATATCATCACCATGGCTCACCCGGCAGTAAAGACCGACGGCGAGCGCGGCGCCGCGTACAAGCACATCGAGTCGACATATCACTACGATGAAAAGCCGACGTACACGACCACCAGCGGCTACCCCATTGATGACCCAAAGAAATATCAGCGCGTCGGCCAGGGCCCGCTGCTGCTGCAGGACTTCCACTTGATCGACCTGCTGGCCAACTTTGACCGCGAGCGCATCCCGGAGCGCGTGGTGCACGCCAAGGGCGCGGGCGCATACGGCGAGTTCGAGCTCACGCACGACATCAGCGACCTGACGACAATTGACATGCTCACGGGGCCGATTGGCAAGAAGACGCCGCTGCTGACGCGGTTCTCGACGGTTGGCGGCGAGAAGGGGTCTGCGGACACGGCACGCGACCCCCGCGGCTTCGCGACCAAGCTGTATACGCAGGAGGGCAACTGGGACTGGGTGTTCAACAACACGCCCGTGTTCTTTTTGCGGGACCCGACCAACTTCCCGACGTTTATCCACACGCAGAAGCGGAACCCGCAGACGAACCTCAAGGACGCGACCATGTTCTGGGACTACCTGTCGACGCACCAGGAGTCGGTGCACCAGGTGATGACGCTGTTCTCGGACCGCGGCACGCCGGCGTCGTTCCGCAAGATGCACGGCTACTCGGGACACACGTACAAGTTCACCAAGCCGGACGGGTCGTTTGTGTACGTGCAGATCCACCTGCGGTCGGACCAGGGCGTCGCGACGTTTACAAACGAGGAGGCCGGCGAGAAGGACGGCGCCAACCCGGACTGGCTGACGCAGGACCTGTTTGAGGCGATTGCGCGCGGCGACAACCCGTCGTGGACGACGTACCTGCAGGTCATGACGCCCGAGCAGGCCGAAAAGTTCCGCTACAATGTGTTTGACCTCACCAAGGTGTGGCCGCAAGCCGAGTTCCCGCTGCGTCCGTTTGGCCGCATGACGCTCAACCGCAACGTGCAAAACTACTTTGCCGAGATCGAGCAGGCCGCCTTTGCGCCGTCGAACCTGGTGCCGGGCGTCGAGCCTTCGGCCGACCCGGTGCTGCAGAGCCGCCTCTTCTCGTACACGGACACGCACCGGCACCGCCTGGGCGGCAACTTCCACCAGATCCCCGTCAACACGCCGCTCCGGTCGTTCAACCCGATTGTGCGCGACGGGCAGATGAATGTCAACGGCAACCTGGGCGCGAACCCCAACTACCAGAGCTCGTACCGGCCGGTGACGTACAAGGCCAGCGGCAAGGGCACGGTGTCGCACGAGAAGTGGACGGGCGAGGCGACGTGGGCGGTGTTTGGGGATGTGACGGACTTGGATTTTGAGCAGCCGGCCGCGCTGTGGAAGGTGCTCGGCAAGCAGCCCGGGCAGCAGGACAACTTTGTGCACAATGTGGCGGGCCACCTGTCGGGCGCCAAGCAGGACACGCGCGAGCGGACGTACGGCATGTTTGCGCGCGTGGACGCGGACCTTGGCAAGCGCATCAAGGAGGCGACGGAGAAGGAGGTGTCCAAGTAGAGGGTGGAGGCGGTGATGATTTACTCTTCGTACTGTGCTTTGACGGAAGCCATTGTCCTTTTCTTCGTTGGGTCTACCGAATGGCAATTGAAATAAAAAAAAGGGAATTTTTTTGCTGTGCGACATACGAATCGCTACTTTGCATTACTCGACATGGTGCGCATCAATGCTTGGCAAAACAAAAAAGGACGTTGCGTGTCTCTGACCAGCCGATGGTGACATCTGGGGCTCCTGTTGCGACAATGCGCAAACTGCGCCTCTCTGCCCTACTTACCACGTGCGGGCGAGTCATGTCGCACGTTCTCTGGAGGATAAGTGGACTGCCATCGACGTCATGTTTGTTTCAATCGCATTGCAGGATCATGTAAAAAAAGACGGGTTTCCAACAAGGCAAAGGCTTGATTTTCTGCAGCAAGCGGCGCGCAGGGTCGCAGCGTACGGTACATGTCTCGCCGAACCGCCTTCTCTCTGGTGCTATCTGTTATGTGGTATGTGGTATCTAGATGGCCTCCCATTACACCATTGGTCTTCCTCTGGTCTTCCTCTGGTCTTCCTCTGGTCTTCGTCTGGTCTTCCTCTGGTCTTCCTCTGGTTTCCTCCGTCGCAAAATGGTCGTGGTTCGAAAGGCAGAGAGTATTGCGTCGCCGCGCATTTAGCAGCAGCACTTGCAGCACTCGAAGCAGGCAAAGGCAGCGCAAAGACCGCAGCAGATCTCCTCGGCCTCGTCACCGCCGCGCATGTTGGCCTCGACGGACATGGGCTCGACGCGAGTCTATTTTGGTTTGTTAGCAGTGATCCTATTGACAAGTTCCGGGGCTTTGTCGCAAATGACGTTGTTTTGGACCAAGCGCCAGGGCCAAAAAAAATAAAAATAAAAATAAAAATAAGCATTAGGGTCGTAGAAAAGATCACTACAAAACAACGTACAGGCTGCTCCACAGCGGGCTCGGCGTTCTTGGCAGGCTCGGCGGCCATGTTGACGGTCTTGGTAGGGGCGTCCATTGTTGGAGATATTGCGAGGATATAAAAGCCAAAGAGAGAAATAGAAGTTTGGTGTTACGGTCGGTGGTGATAATGGACGAAAAGAAAACTTTAAGAAAAAAACGACGAGACGAAGCACGGGCGGGGAAATACGGCCTCTTAAGTAAACGAGCAAGCGAAGGAGTCAGTGGGGGGAGGAGGGAGAGCGAACCCGAGAGAGACAACCTGACAACGTGTGTCGGCAACAGACGCCAGTCGACCCTGAAGGAGCAGCTGGCTGGCTGGGACCTCGGACTGGGTGCAGGGGTGGGCGTGTGAGGGCGAGTCTGTGAGTGGGCAGGGTGATGATTACGGAGAAAAAGGAAAAAGCGAATGGTGTCTCGCGAGGAGGGAGCCAGCTGCGGGAGGATAGGGCAACGAGCATTGCTGTGCCAAATACGGCACAGAGAATGGAGCAGCAGACGCAGCAGGCAGGGACCCGCAGATTGGATCTGACGTCCAGGAGGAGGCACAGGGCCGGCGGCATCGAAAGTCGAAAAGGAGCAGCATGCGAGGAGGGAGCAAGAGGCAGGGCACAGGCAAGGGCCGAGCTATCGTGCCGGTGAGGGTCTGGTGGAGAAAAGACCCTGTTTTAGTTGTGCAGTATTCATTTCGTCTAGTTGCGATGTGCTTCTGCCCCTGTTTGGCTCGTTCAATGATTTGGTCCTTTGAATTTTGTTCCTTCAACCGGCGATGCAGCTAATGATAGACATTGTCGACAGTACAGTGCCGAGCTGCAGTCTACCGCTGTTATTCTGTGTCCTGCCATCCCCTGTTGATCTGTGCAGTTTCTCTGCGTTGTTTCTTGCTCGTTTCTTGTTTTCAATGCCGGACCGTTTGTTTAGTTTGTTTGTTGGTCTCTGCTTAGGGTGCCTTTATCCCTGTTGTTGGCGCCGGTTTTCTTGTTGTTTTTCCAATTTTTTTATTCTTCTGTTTCGTATTCCTTACCTTTTCTCATTATGGAGACAATGGAACGCTCTATTTTTATCATGCAAGCTGTTGACAAGAAGCCTGTTAAAAGCGGTACTGCATACGTGGACAACGGAGCCACTTGGGCCCCAGTCTTCCAGGCACGAGCAAGAAAAGAATTGACATTCCGGAGTGCGTCGTATGGCAGTTGTTTTCACATCAATTCGACTCCGTCTCACATCGTACAGCTTTGCGTGACGACGACGCCTATGTGCAGACGCCATAATTATAATTAGGCTGGCAGCATCGCGAGCGGTAATGAAAAGAAGAATAAAATGGGACATACGATGTAGACGCACCTATGGACCAAAAAGAGACCGAAGAACGGCAGATGAATCCACTTAACGCAGATCCAGGATTTGAGAAAACAGAAAGAAGATGGCAGTCGTAACCAGCTCTGTACATTTTCAAAACTTTGTGGCACAAAGTGTCGTGGGCTAAAATAAAGGCAGCTGACAATCCAGCGGCCGTTGAGCGTGACGAGCGCGTTGAGAGACACCGCCGGAGAATAAGAGAGAACAGACCGCGGGCGGGTGCAGAAAGCCAAGACTGCATCGACGACGAGACAAACGAGAACGTGCGCCCCGGCAAGCGGCAGCAAAACGACACACCGACACAGTCGCGAACAGCCACAGGGCCACGCAGGCGCCGGGTCGTTGTCTGTGGCTGCAGTCAGACGTCAGTGGAAGTCTGGCGTGGCCCATGTGGCTATGTTGCTATGTTGTGTGTACAGAATATGATGGTGTTGTTTGACGAGGTGCTCGTTTGGCCTCAGAACAAGCCGTGGGAGGAGGGAGGACAGGGGCAGGGGCTCAGACGATTGCGCTTTCCTGCAGCACCAGCTCTGCTCTTGCTGTCCAGTCCATCCCAATTGGGAAGACACCTCACCACATGCCTTCTTGCCTTCCTGCCTTCTTCCTTCCTCTCCAGCCCTGAACGTCATTTGGCGTCGCTAGCGCGTCGCAGTTTCCCACCCAAAACTGTCCACACGCTGCTCGGAACCCGGCTCTGTATGGCTGGCTCTTTCCGCCAGAATCTATCACAGTCCAATTGCGATCGCCCAAGTCCAATGCACTAGCCGGCCATATCTTACCAAATCGACGCTATGAAGAGACGACGCCCAAACCGTTCTTGTGACCGCCTTTCCGGAAAATGTCATTCATTCGGAGAGAGACACGAAGACTGGACGGGCGCAGGGGCGTCACCCGTATCTCGACAAAAGACGCCACCCCACTGCCGTCTTGACGATGGGAACGACATATTCCCAGGCTAGGGATAAAACGGGCACCAAAGATCATGCCACATACCTCCACAAATGGAAGACACCTCCTGCGGCACCTGACCTGTTCATCAGGGCAGCGCATGGTAATACCCCGTTGGGACGAAGTGCTGCTCAGTACGACATACATGCTCACGACTTCATGGTCGCTGGGCCGAAGCGCTCCACTATATTTGGCAGCGGAGCATCTCGTTGGCGGAATGCATTGCTATGAGTCTGTCGTGTCTGTGTGTATTCATCGCAATCGGCATTCAGTCAAACCGTTCCGTGTCTGTTATTTTACTCTCTCTTTGTCTGTAGTCCACTACTTCGTAAGTAGCCACTCTGCCACTCCAACCAATGTCCAGAGAACCGCCCTGCCATTTCGCACTGCCGTCTTATGCGTTCAGGCCCCACTTTCCGCCTTCCTTCTTCTTCCAGTCCAGGACCCAATCGACAGCCAATGGCAGGCGCTGGCAACGGACGTTCGGACTTGCCCGCTGTGCGCCAAGGCCAAGCCTTCTTGCGTACCCGCTTTTTGACAGCATCGATGCAGTACCCAGCTTTGCATCTCCATATTCCGTATGTTGTATGCCGTGTTCCATACTCCGTGCAATACATGGTGATGCTTGTCTCTGGAGATGCGTGTCTCAGTGTCCCCGTGACCAGGCTCGCGCATCGGCAAAGTGGAACCCTGATAGACGATCGACCGCGCGCGATGGCAGCGTCCATTGTTCCAATGTGTCAATTTGTATGATGAGTACTTTGCTCCGTACTCTGTACGATGTACTCTATTGCAAACGGAGTCCTTCGATGGTCTTTGGTAACTTTCTCATTTGTCTGTTTTCAGACAGTTTCCGTTGCCGGTTCGAATCCTTCTGGTATCAACAGCGGGATCCTATGTCTATGCACTCATACCTGCCATGGAGCCCAATGGAAATACAAACAATGCAATATTGCCGGCTGCTAGCCACCAGTCTCCAGCAGGTCCTCAGCATAGTCCTTATCTGGAGTTGTTTCTGCTCCTGGGTTTCGGGTTGCTGCCGAGTCTTGGTGTGGCTCGTGTGCGCTGGCGAGAGGAAGGTGTCGTGGACAGACGCCGTACTCGCGGATAACGGCATATGGAGGGGGGTTGGCAATCGTGGAGAACCGGCCAGAACCTGTCAGGAATACGACCCCACGAAGATGTATCGCTTTTACGAAAGCGTTCCTCGATCTTCCGCGTAAAGTCTGTGTCCTCCCCCTTTGCATTGTGGCTCGTACTTTGGCTCATGCAACGCAGTACGAAGAACCCCCAATATGTCGACTGGCATGCCTCATCAGCCAGCCTTGCCGCGTTCCTGGGTGACAAAAGCCTTCCTGCTTTTCCCTATTCCCTCATCTCGTCCGACCTCCCGTCTGGTTGTTTGATTGCACAAACGATCACAGTCCGGAGATGGGCAGGAGATGCCAGAAATGCAAACAATGCCAAGTCGGCCCGGACGGCTCTGACAATGGCGTCGTTTTCTTGCAAAGGAAGCAAGTCGGACTCTAACCTGTTGAGCCCTGTCTGCTCGCATGCCGACGTCAGAGTTGTCTGTGGGTCGCCAAGCTGGTCGGGTTGGACAGGAACAACGACAGCCAAGTTGTCCGCCAGCCTTGGCTGTTTGCATGCTGCATGCCCTTGTCGAACCTCTCGCCCGCACCAATTAAAGAGTGGCGCCGTGACGGGGTATTACTCGAAACGATCTGTGCCTCCCCCAATTTGCTGGTTTACTGTCCCCATGATGGTTTACTGCCCAATCATGATTTGCCTCCCCCGTATTCCTTCTGGAGAATGCCGCTCGATTCATGTGTTGTTCTGTTCTTTCGAGAGTAGGTGCATGCATTGCTGCCGCCAAGTCCAGGCAACAACAACAGGATCGTTTTTAATCAGGACATGTCCGACCACTCACTCAGTCATACACGATACCGCTCACTCATGGTCCCGCACGCCTGCTAGCCAAATTATCCCATCCCGTCGAATTTTCGTCGTTTTAAAATGTGCAGCGCCCCTGAGTAAGGTCTCATTGTTGACCAGACTGCTCTTGTCATGTATTTTGGCAGCGATGGGCGGTATGCGAGCCAACCAAGACGAGAGCGAGGCTGCAGCGGCAAGATACCGGGATGCATCCCGCTTCGTATTCCGTATTCTCCCACATGTGCACCCGGTGACTGCAAGGCAAAAAACTTGTCATTTGGCATTTGCTTTTGGGCTTCTGGTGCCTGGCTAGCCATTGGCCGCTTTTCCAGCTGCAGCCTTGAGCCTTGAGTCTTGAGCCTCGATCCTGCTGCCTTTGCATGCCGTGCACCGACAAAGTATGGCGTACCTGTTCTCCCTGGAACTGTCAAACTCGGTCGCGTTTCTGCCAAAGCCATCCCCAATCGCCAGCTAATAGGAGCCGTACCAACAGACACAGGCCGTTCCAAATGGCTATAGGTGATCCCGCACTCACCCGCTAGACTGTGCACTGCCTTCACTGCCTTGTCGGTCTTTGTCGCGCCGATCGCCGTTCTCGTCTTCGGTGTACACGAGCGATACCTGGAGGCTGTCGATGGTGTGCAGCAGGGGGGCACGGGGCGTTTGGGGAAGAGGCTCCGTTTGGGCGATTTGACAATGGGGGATGGCGCCGATGGCGAGTGGGGATCATCGAATGGGAACGAGCCAGGATACTGTTCAACGCCCAATTCTCCGCGGCACTCAGCGTGCCGGCTGGGCAAGCGTTCGCCAGTCGTTCCCCACAGCCCCCTGGTTTCTGCGCTACGCAGTAGTGTAGAGAATGGGCAACCACCACCCACAAGGAAAGAAGGAAAGAAGCATACGCCACCTTCCTGTACAGCCCCCGAGCTGTTGTCGTAGCTCTGGCACTAGAAGGGAAAGAACAAAACAAAGCAACTCAAAAACACAATGATGACAGAAACAAGCTATGACCACACCAAAAGCACGCCACCAACGCACGACCAACGACCAGCTACAACACTACAACTCCCTCCTTTCGTAGCTTGACCGATGCCGTCACAGGCCACACATGCCTCAGCAGCTCAGTCACAGCGTCGTTCCGCCCTTGCAACAGAGCACGTTCACCCAGCGGCGGCCCACGATTGGCAGTCGGGGCATCTCTTTTCTTTTTGGCCATTTTGGCCATTTGGCCATATCGCGTTCGTTTGCGATTTCGACACCGAGCTGGCCATGAGAACAGACTCGCCCGTTTGGTCGGTCACAGGACTGCGATGACTCCATCGTCCAGCAGGCGGGTCCAGTCCTAGGGCCTTGGGCCCCCGTCGTTATGCTCGGCAATTGGTGTGCATCCAAGAAGCCTCACACTTTGATTCCGATGCTGCTTCGATGACTCTCCTGCGTCCGCTTGTCTGTCCGCCTCTGTTTGGTTCGCTCGCGGAACGAACCAAGACATGTCGCGGTCTCCTGCACGCCGCACGCTGCACGCTGCAGTCCACCTCTGCCTGCCTGTCTGAGTCCGCCTCTTCGCCCTCCTTTCAGACGGTCTGCGTTATCTGTTTGGCCAGCCTTAGAAAAGTGGGCGGTGTCACCAATCAGTCTCTCTCTCTGTGTGTGTGTGTGTGTGTGTGCTTGTGAGTCTAATCTGTCTCTTTGCATTTCAAAGTCCTATCTCTGACTCCGAGGACAGGACCAAAACGACAGGGATGCTACCAAGAAAGCCCCGCCTCCCTTTCCATTCGGCTTCTGGCGCCCTTCTAGCGTCCTTGGCATGCTGCCTTCTGACCCATTGCGCAAATCTCCCTTGTCGTTCCCGCTCAAGTCTGCCCCCCATGTCTGGCTTCGTTTTTAGAATTTGTGGTCCCCCCCCTTCTCGTTTGTCCTGCCAATGTCTCTAACCTTCGTTTCTCGTCGTCCTCTTGGCCTGCAGTTTTAATGTCCTGCCCCAGGAGCATATCATTGCTGCCTTACGATCGGCCTGACTGCCTCTCCGTGTCCATGCCTCGCTTCGAGCTGGCTGGCTTGTTGGTTTCCTTCTTTCCCCGGAAGGTGTTCGGGCTACCCCTCCGTCTCTTTTACTCCAAGTCTGTCTACTTTGTGTACTCGTCATTGGCAGTAGCTACGTTCTTCTTGCGATCAGCTTTTGCGCCTTTTTTTAGTTTTCCTTGTGCGCAGATTACTTTCACCACTTCTCATTCTCCTACTTCTTTCTATCCGACCAGTGCGGCGTATGCAAAGTTGCCTCGACAGCCAAACGACGTGCCTAGCAAGTGAGGCCAAAGGTACCTTGCCGCTCGTCTTGACCGAAGTCATTTGGCAAGCCTGACGCGTTCCCTCTGCCGGTCCCGATGCCTCCCCATCTCGCCAAGTCCTCTGTCATTCATCCTCATGTACCTGTACCCTCCAATTCGTCCCTGCACTAGTCTAGTTTTCCCCCGTCCCTAGTTGTTCCTACGTCGTCTTGTCCTGTGATCAGTCTTCCATCCCCCTTCGTCGCTATCGACCTATTTGTTGTTTGTACACTTTCTTTCTGCCTTCGCATGTGTCGTTGCATTTTTGTATTTAGCCGCGTCGATTCCTCCTTCTTTTCTGTTTCTGTTCGGCCTCTTCTCTCTCCCTTTACTCTCCCTCGCTCTTCCATCTCACACATTACACTCTTGCTCATATCGTCCCGTCTTCTCACTCCAACTCACACATTCAACCACACTGTCACATATTGCCTTTACTGCCTCGGTTACCAACGCTCTCACTGTGCTCTCCAACTAGCCCCCGGTCTTCTTGTCGCATCCCAGCACGCTACCTAGCTTGCAACCTGCAACTGGACTTCCTGCAGCCTGAACACTGTTTCCAACCTGCAGCAACCACAAAACCGTTCCGCTTGCAACTACTACTGCTACCTGCGACAGACCACGCGCTGCATTGCCGAATATCTCTGTTTCTACCTTCCCCGTTAAGACTGCTTGCTTCCCAAAATAAAAACTATATTAAAAAAATACGCAACAATAAGACCACAAACAAATCGCAACATCGATATCGTCCATAACATAAAAGACATAAAGAGAGATTCAGTCCATCAGTCAATCGGTCAACCAAACAAGCAAAGAATCAAAAAAATTCCTGCGAGGAAAAAACCTTCAAACCAGCCTTATTTTGATTTCAACTCTACTCTCGCCCGTACGGAGGGCGACATAAACACTTCCGACTTTTCAACTCAGCTCGACAAAGAACAGTAACAGGCCCATCTCTGCTTCTGCCCTGCTGCTTTATTCTCATCCCCAGCCCTCCACCAAAATGACTGGCCGCAACAACAGCTACTCTTCATCCCGCGTCCCATCTTCGGCGCCGCTCTACCACGCGCCCTCGCGATCGAGCACTATATCGTCAAGCTCAGTACGTACCTGTGTATAGGAGCAAGGTCCTTGTCACTCGTCTTTGTCCAATGTCCCTGCTAACCAACCACAGACGAAGGCGCCGTTTGCCGAGTCCTACGATATGCCTGCGTACGAGTACAGCAGCCGGTCGGCCAGTGACCCGCTGTACCGCACCAGCGCGGGTATGGGCAGGGCCTCTGCCAGCTATAACGGCCCCTCGTCGTCGTCCTTGCCATCGTCATTATCGTCTGGGACGTACAACATGTCTGATGCAGCTGCTGCCTCGGGCGTCTACCGCACCACGAGCAGATCGACTTATGCGTCTTCGGCGTCGTACTCTTCGTCGTACCCGCCATCCTACACATCGTCGCTGGCCTCGACGGCGTCCTTGCCGTCCGTGTCGTCACCGCCGCCGCGCCATTCGTCGGCCCATTCCTATGCCACGAGCACTGCCGGCAGCACCGCCGGGAACAGCACGAAGAAGACGAATGTCAACGTCTACACCACGTGCGGCCGCCACAGCAACGAGTGGCTCTTTAGCGGCTGGCCGTCGCCGTTCCGCCGGCGGGATGGAAACTAATGACTTCCACTCGTTACGATTTCCTGACACTTCGCTGCTGGCGGCTACGACTAATGACACGACACGAACGCGACCACGACAAGGACTCGAGATATCCTAATTGCCCATTAGAATAGATTTTGGTTTTGCATTTATGGATTGTATCTTGATTTTTCATGTTGAAATTATTCTATGTAATGGGCATTATTTTGTTATCTGATTCATCTTTCTGTTTTATGTATTTCAGCTGCTTATATTGTCTTCGGTAGTCTTGCAAGTTTGCGTCTTATTACATACTATTTTGACTTTTGTTCTACAGACAGACGAAACAAAATACCAAAAAACGTATACCTAATAAATCCAATTTCAGATACGACAATAACCTCAAGAGTGTAACATTGCTCTCGTCTGCCTTCTAAAGTATGTCGCACCTCGGGACATTCACACCCAAATCCCCCTCCTCTTGGCCGAAAGAGGAAGGGACCCACACGAGCTTTTGTCTGTCGCCAAGATGTTGCCAAGAAATGCCAAGACCGTTTGTCAACTCAAGAATAACCCAATTAAACTTGGCTTAAAATAAATCCGGAAATTCTCCCGCCTTTGGAACTTTCTTTTGCACGTGCCCCCTATTTGCGCGAACCCTCCTTCCTTGAGGCGCTTTAGCTATGATTGTCAGTACGTCGTAGCTTTTTCCACGTGAAAATCCACCAAAGCTACGCCATATTTCCCCAACGGTTGAACAACAAACGACGTCTTCCCCGACAATCGACGTTTTGTGCATCATCATCGTCACCCACCTATTGTCGACATCACCACCAACGACAACCTCGATACGCCGCCGTGTCAAGCGTACTCCCCAGTCCGACCTGCACCTGACCTATTTCTGCTGGATAGTTTTAGAATCGACAGTCCTTCCTCCGTTGCCCGCAATGGCCAAGTCCAAGGAGATTCCCGGCACTGGCCCTGTGGAATCGTCGCAGGTCAAGCTGCTGTACCTGACCGCCTACAACTTCGCGTCGGCGGTCCTCTGGGCCACGGTGCTGGGCCGCACGGTTGGCGCCGCCTATCTGCGCGGGCCCGAGTACGTGCCGATTGCTGTCAGCTACTTTGTGCGCTGGACCCAGACGCTCGCCCTACTGGAGGTCGTGCACTCGCTGCTGGGCGTCGTCCGCGCGCCCTTTTTTACGACCGTCATGCAGGTTGCCAGCCGCCTGCTGCTCGTGTGGGCCGTCGTCTACCCGTTCCCCAACGCCACCACGTCCAGCGTGTTCTACACGTCGATGCTGCTCGCCTGGAGCACGACCGAGGTCATCCGCTACTTTTACTTTGCTCTGAGCCTGGCCCGTAGCGCGAGCGCGTCCGGGAGCGGAGCCAACCCGCCGGTGCCCGACTGGTTCACCATCCTGCGCTACAGCACATTCCTCGTTCTCTACCCCATCGGCATCTCGTCCGAGGTGCGCCTCGTGTACCTGGCCGCGGCGACGCCCGGCGCCGCCGAGAGCCTGCACCCGTACTACCCCTACGCGCTGTACGCGGTGCTGGCCGTCTACGTGCCCGGGTCGTACATTCTCTACACGCACATGCTGGCGCAGCGGCGCAAGGTGCTCCGCCGGCTCAAGGCCGACTCGAGCAAGGCCCAGTAGAGCGGAGAGATTGGGACAGGGGATGCAAGCAAGGGGACCGAGACACTACACATTGCGAGACGATAAAAACAATAGGAGTGCAGTGGAATCGAGAGTGCGAGGACACGAGGCGAGACATGGATCGGGAACCTCGACTCTTCGGAGCACTACAGCGGCTATGCGGCTTGGATGGCACGGTGTTACTGGTATTGGCTGGTATTCGGTATAAAAAAGGCGAGCAAGTAACAGATTTTATCTGTTCCATAGAATCGAGGCGAAAGAGAGCTTCGGCAACATCAATAGCAATAGCGTAATAATGTACTATTAGTTCATAAGGGTTTGTATTTGTCATAGCATCGTATTTTAGCAAAAAAAATTAAAAAATAAAGAAACGTGCATCTTATGATACCGCCGCCGCCGTCGTAACGTGACTGCCGGCATACCATGCGGTACCCTCGGTCCACTGCACAATCAAGGCACTCGCGTCCCGGAGCAGCGTGTTGTAGTTGGGGTTCTGTGGCGGATCGAACATGCTCATATGCGCCCATGTCTCGTCCGTCGCCGCGTCGTTGACGGCCGGCCGCCAGATCCCCGCTGGGGTCTGCCCTGACGGCAGGTTGCAAAACGTTCGCTCGCCCGCGGGCAGCAGCCCGCGCAGCGGCGAGCTCCGTCCGCCTTCGCCGTTGTTGCTGAGACTCGCCGCTTTTCGCTGGGCCTCTTGTGCTGCCCTGCCCAACTGCGTATACAGGTTTCCGAACCCGACGCCCAGTTGCCGGGTTGCCTCTGTCATGCGCGCCATGCGCGCCCGCAGCACTTCGCCTCGTGCCAGGCAGTTGACAAACTCGAGGTGCGACGTGGCCCACGTCCAGCCCTCGGTCAGCTGGTCCCGCCGCTTGTAGGCGGCCGTGGCGGCGGCCGCCGCCGCGCCACTGGCGATGGCACCGGCTCCCGCGTACATGGCAATCTTGCCCCAGCCCCACGAGGACGACGCTGCGCCGGCGGCCGCAGCGGCCCCTCCGACAGCCGCCGCCTCTGTCTTGCTCGTCTTGGATGCGTTGCTCGAGGGCGACGACGACGACGGCAGGGCCCGTGCCGAGCGCGCCGGCTGCGTGTCGCCCTCGCTCTTCTTGCTGCCGCCCCACAGCGCATCCGTCAGACCGGTAATCTGCGTCAGCGCGGCCGTCGCGGCCGCATACTGGCCTTCGGCGCCGTGGGCCACCACGCCCGGCGCGATCCCCAGGTACGGCGTGTCGAACCCCAGCACGCCCTGGACGTACGGAAACATCATGGCATTCAGCTCGTCCCCCAACTTCTCCTCCTCGTCGCCCACCCGCTTGTCGCCCGCCAGCCCCAGCAGCGCATCCGCCGCCACAATCCCGCCCATCGAGTGCCCAATCAATATGCAGTGCACCGACGGGTCGACGGTCGGCGACGGCGTGCGTGCCGCCACCTCAATGTCGATCACTTGTTCGAGCAGCCACTCCGAAAAGCGGGCGACGCAGGCCGCGAGGTCGCCGCGGGTCTCGTAGGTCGGGTAGACGGCGACGCGGACGTCCACGTTGGGCAGGGCCTGGGCAACGCGCTTGCGCAGGTCATGGGAGAACTGCGAGCGGGCGCCAAACGTGTCGGCGCCGCCCTTGAAGCCGTGCACAAAGCACAGCAGCAACGTGCGGCGCATCTGGTTTGGAGACGGAGAGAAAGGCCAGGGAGACGGTCTCGAGGTGGAGGAAGCGGGTGAGCTACCGGAGGCGTCGGAAGACGGACGGGCGAGTATCGGCGAGAAAACAGAGTCCGAGGTCTCGATAGCAGATACAGAGGTGCAGCGATAACGTGGTTGTTGGAAAGTGAGCGTGAATGACGTGTAAACAAGTCGTTAGTTGCTGAAGAAGGCTGTGAGGCTGTGGCAAGGCGGTCCAGTAGTGGAGGTGGGTGCGGGGCTTTAGCGCTATAGCGCATCTACTCAGAACAGCTACAGCCTGAGACAAGGCTCTCACAAGAACACGAGGTTTCACAGCGACAGGCACATCACGGGTCGGATGCACAAGAAACATGCTTTCTTACAATCGTAGTTTCTAGCATATCGTCATATATATTTTAGATAGACGCGGTAAATCATGACTAAAAAAGAATGCCTTGATGTATTTCATTTTCTGATTCAACGCCGACATGGCGATGAGGCGAATACTAAAAACCTGAAATCAACGATGACGGTCAAGGGAAACATTGCAAGTCGGCCGAGGCGGCCACGCAAGACAAAGCCAGAATGCACACAGAAAGCAAAGACCAGAATCCAGAATAGGAGGATTGAAATATAATATTGGAATGCCCAAAGCCAAACGCCAGCCGGTTGATCGCCCCTTCCGCCCCAAAAGCATTTTTCGCTCTTGCCTTGGGCTGCTCAGCCATCTCATAGACAACCCCGTTTCTTTTTTTATGCAATTGCCCTTGTTATTTTGTTTCCCAAAAGCTCCTTCCGTTTTCCGATCGTCCCCCTGTCTCTCCGTCGGGATCCCACTCTCTTATATTTATTCCCATTTAAATAAAACTTTAAAGTCGAATGTTCACCAGAGTATTTTGTTGGTCCTCCAAAGTCGTTCCCCTAGAAAGTGGCAAATGGTAAACTGGCAAAAAGAGATACAAGGAGATGAAAAGACGCGCCTTGGGTAACACGCCGGCAGCGATTCCTGTCGGTCCCATACACCACGTCCGAAAGACATTGTAAAAATAAAGACAAGAAGAAAATACTAAAGAAAGGGTAAGAAAACACAAGGAGAAAAAAAAAATTTGTAAAAGAAATAATAAATAAGAAATGCACGTTGGTAACAAAACCATTCCCTCTGAAAAAGCAAAGAAAAACTGCATCGGTGGGTATTATCGATTGACAAAATCGTCATCGGTGCTGAAAGGAGCGGTCCTCTCCAGCATCGTCAGGTATATTCAAAGGAGTACGTATGCTGCATGTTCGTGTTCGTATTCGTGCTTGCGTGAGTCACGCGGTTTGCCTTGGGTGCTTATTTGTACAACAAAAGGGGCAATGAAGTTACTCCGCAGTCTCTGTGTCGGTGTCCGGAGACACCACCAGCTTGGCTGCAGCCGTAGCCATCTTCCCGTCCGCTCTGGCGACGATCGAAGCCCCTGTTGGTCCAGCACTGACACTAGGTGGGTTGGAGCTCTCCGGGGTGTTCGGCGCATGGGTGAGCGGCGGTGTCGACTCGGCATTGGCGGGCAGCCGGGGTGACACGGGCGCCGTGGAGGCAGTATAGGACTTTGCGGCCGGCGGCGACCCTAGGCTGACTAGGCCGGTCTTGGCCAGCTCGTCGAGCAGGCGGTCCACGGCCGCGTTCTGCCGGCCGGTGCTCGTCCGCTTCAGAACGGCAAGCTGCGTCTCCATGGTCTCGACAAAAAGACGACGTTCCTCACCTTCGAGGAGCTTCAATAGTCTCTCTGTGTAATGGGTTAGCGGGGCATGACGGTAACAATGTGCCGGGCACTAAAACGAAGGGCCACTTACGGATGACATAGTTGCCGTATTGGTCTTTGATCATTTGGTGCAGGACGGGCACCCCGTCACTGCCGACCTTCTCGAGCTCCTTGCGGGCGCGGACACGGTCGTCCAGCGTGCCGTGTTCCATGCACTTCTCGACCACATTGGACGCAAACTTGTGCCGCGACATGGGGACGAGCTCATTCAGCACCGTGTTGATCATCTTGGTGCGGTCCTCTGGATCGCCAAACTCAATGACGTGCTGCGTCACGTAGTTGCCGTACTGGTCCATGATGAGGTCGCGCGCATTCTCGTGCAACTCCGCTAGAATGATGGCCTTGTCCTCCTCGGACCCGTGTTCGAGCATCCGCTGGACGACGCGGCAGCCGTAGTTGTGCGACGACAGCTCCTTCACCTTGCCGCGGAAGGCGTCCATGACAAAGCCAATGTGTTCGCGCGGGACCACCTCGATGACCTTTTGCACGACATGGTTGCCGCTCGGGTCCTTGACGACACGCGTCACATCTACCTCGAGCTCCTTGACCAGGTAGACTTGCTGTTCCACCAGAATGTGCTCCAGGGCCTTTTGCACCACACGGCAGGCGTACGGTTGTGTGGACAGCTCGACCATCTTGCCGCGCATCTGCTCGGCCAAGTACTTCTTCTGGACCTGGCTGCCGTGCTCAAAGAACTTTTGCACAACGTAGTTTCCAAACACGTCACGCATCAGAACGAGCGCATTGGCTGAGATTTCCCGGAAAATGTGTTCCTTGTCGTCGCTGTTGGCCGTCTCGAGCTTGCTTTGGATGAAGCGCGAGCCGTGCTGGTCGCCGCTGAACTCGACAATGTAGCCGTAAATGTCCTTGAGCTCGAACCGTCGGTTGGTTCTGGATGTTCGGAAATCGTCCAGCACAGGGCTGCGCATCGACCGAACGAGATCGCGGTCACGGGGAGCTTGCAATTGGGAGTTGGGCGGCAGCAGGCCATTGCCCATCGGCGTGCCCATCGGCGCGCCCATCGGGAGACCCAGAGGCGACACCTGCATGGGCGCTCGGAAAGAATTGAACAGTGGGTATGGGGCGAGGTTGCCGGGGAGGAAGTTGGGGTTGCCGTTGAACGACGCGGCAGCGGCAGCAGCAGCCGACAGCTGCTGGTCGTGCAAGAAATTTTGTAGAGGTTGACGCTGCAGAAGGTTACCTACACCATTGGCGCCGGTCTCCGATAGGCCCGATGTTCTGGGGTCCCGCGACTGCGGCCGACTCCAGGGCCCGGCACCATTCGCGGGTGTTCCAAGGCTGCGCGGGCTGCCGTTTTGTTGGAAAACGCCCCCAATCGGAGTGTTGCCCCGCTCAGCTGAGCTGAAATGGCTACGCGGAGCAGAAAAGGCGGATGCGGCAGCAGGGTCTCTACCCTGCCCGTACATCTCGAACCCCCGAACGCCCGCGTCCCAAGGCTCAGAGATGGGGTTGAACTGGAACGATGGTTGGCTGTGGGTGTGTGCCTGTGCTTGCGCCTGCACATATGCTGCCATTGCACCATAGTTGCTTCCAAGGCCGTTGGCGGCAGAGCTGGCTGACCGGTCATCGAGGCCCTGGGACTGGCGGAACATCTGCGCCATCGCCAGAGCGTTGGCGTCTTCGGGTTGGGAGTTGCGGTGGTAGGGCAGAGCGGGTGTCGGCGCTGCTGGGGACGAGTATGACGTCGAGGCTTGGAGCGATGTGCGGTGTGAATGGCCGTGGCTCGACGTTGCAATGGGGCCAAAGGAGCCAAAGGATGGGAGCGTCGAGCCGTTGCTGCCATTGGTATTTGTCGTGCCATTTGCTGGCCCAGGCGCGGCCGATGCAGACGCTGTCGATCCTGCTACAGACGCCGCAGCTGACGACGTCGAAAAGACGTTCGAGGAGCCGTGGGCAGCTCGTGTTCGGGATGGGAGAGCATCGCTGTCAAAGCCCAGGTTGGAAAGAGAGTTGGAGATGGTGTTCGAATCGGGGCCGTCCTCTCCTACACTGTCGCGCAGTGGCGATGTGTACCGGAAAGCGGCTGCGTTGGCCTCGGAGGCCGTGCCGTTGGTCGCCTTGGAACGGCCGTTTGGAAAGGCGCTTGTCTGTCCGATGGGAAAGAGTGAAGAGGTGGATGAAAGACCGTTTGATAGGTCACCAACGGCATCTCTCTGGCGTGCAGGCGACGGGCTCGACGATGTCCTCCGTGTCGCGGCGGTGTTCTCGGCGTTGTTCCAAGGTCCAGACTGCGCAGTCCATACGCCGGGGGCGGCTGAGTTTGTCGGGAAGGTGGTGGAGGCCTGGTGGCCGTTTGTGAAGGGCTCGTCTTGGCCTTGATGGAGCAAGAATCGTTAGCATAGAAACGCGAGTAGAGAAAAGTACAAGACTTGGCAATGAGAAGCCCAAAAAAAAAAAAAAAAAGAGGAACCCCAGTCTGTTTCAGCTCCAATCCATCTCCAGCTTTTCGTCCGAACCTTCACTTCCATCTTGCGCCAATAGTAGACACACACCGCCGCCTGTCAGTATTCTTCTCGACGTACCTCGTAGACTATTCGACTCGCGATTGTTGACGGACGATGGCACATTGCCCCACACAGAATTCGGCTGCCAGGACACGATGGACTGGGACGACGACTCCCTCGAATTGGCGCCGCCGTAGGGGAAGCGGTTCGCCTGAAGAGACGATGTTAGCAATTTGAGTCAAGATTGATGGCGAGCGTGGTCGAAGGTGAAAAAGCAGCGCAGACGAGACGGAGGCACGAGACCCAGGTTCAGAAAAAGGGGAGACGAAAAAGAGGCGACGAGAAGGAGGCACTGAAAGAGACAAGGGAAAGCAAAATACATACCGCCATGGCAGTTGACAAATGGGCGACTCGTGAAGCTGTTTCGATATGAAGGGCCGCTGGCGAGGCGAAGGAGCGTCGATACGGCGATGGAGATCGATCAGAGCGCACGGCACGCGATGGTGGATGCTTCGCGACTGACAGGCGACACGAGACGAGGATGAAAGACGAGTGATGCAAGAAGCAAAAAGTAAGAAGCGAGGATGATAATTGGACAGAAAGAGGCGGACGTGAGGAGAGGGCTCAGAAGAAGCTTCGTGGCAGGATCTAGTATATGTTGGTTTGTCGAGACGCTTGATTGGAGATAGCGGCGACGATAGAGAGCGACCAGCGATGGACGAGAGGCTCTGCTAAGGAAAGAAAAGTAGAAATGCCAAGTAAACAGTATCGATGCGGCAGCGAAGGATGTTGGCAACGGGATGCTGCCGTGGACGGGACGACTCAAGGGCGGGGATCGCGTGCAAGCAAGAAAGTCTTGCTGCAGCGAAGGGGCGTGAGAGCAAGCGAGACGAGGCTCCCTTTCGTTGCGATTGTGACGGCGAAGTGGTATTAAGATGTGATTTTTTTTACCAGGGAACATTGGGTGGACTATTTTATTCTTAATGGAGTGGAGAAAAGTGGCAGTCGAGGCGGGTGGGTATTGATTGTTGCGAGGGAGGGCGGTTTGCTGACAGGCTGGTTGGCAAGAAGGAGCGCGGAGGGGGAGCCTGTTGCCTTGAAGGAGGGGCCTTGACGGTGGGCAACAGAATGTGCGAACAGAAGGTGCGAGCAGGAGGTGGTCCAGTATCGGGGAAGGTGCGAGCAGTGCACGCAGCACCTGCGTTTGGTGGGAAGGAGCAAGGGAAGCGATAGACAGTAGTGGCATAGCGCGGTGGGGAGGGTGCAGTGGAGTACCTAGCGGTTAGGTGCTCCGTGTTCCGTAGCGCACAAGAGTGGAGGCTTGTGTTCGCTGTCCAGACCGTCAAGAGACCCAGAGCGGCGGCAGATGCAGCGAATGCGTCGTAGTGTGGTGGGATAGCGCAGGCCAAGGGTTTCTCTACTTGCCCAAGGAGGAGCTAGAGGTGCTGAGAAGCGCCTGAGGGAAGGTCCCAGCCGGTAAGGCTGAGTGGTCAATTGTGAGGGAAAAATGCACACGATCGCGAGGAAGGCGGGCAGCGACGAAGGTTGCAGCAGGGAAAGAACGCCGACAAATTGTCTAGGGTAAGGCAGGAGTAAAGCAGGCGAACAATTGTGAAAAGTGGGATGAAAAAAGGAAAGAGCACCCACCAGGGCAGGTGCGAAGTACATGCAGTAAGTACAAAATACACACTTCAGAATAAGCAATACTCGATACAGGCTTACGTGGGACTCAAACCGCGACGAACTGAGCAAACGATACAGTGTCCACAAGCAAGCGAAGACGTATTCATTAGTACGAAGTAGGAACCGGAAAACGCCCCTTCAAATTTCGTAAAATTGGCTGCCACGGTCTGTCTCGTGGCTGTCGACCGTTGCCTTTAGATGCGGCAAAACGGCATGGCGGAGAGCAGCAGAGAAGGGAGAGGAGCTGAAGCCAGGGTGGCCAGCAGCGATGCTTATCGAGGATCGGGCGGAGCAAAACCGAATTGTGAGCGCGGCGCACAAAACCGACACGGTCAAGCCGACGGTGGCCCACGATAATGAGGCTTTCTTACACGGCGCGAATAAGTGTGTCACGGCTACTTTGTATTGTCGCAGTTTCAAGGGTGCCTTCTGAGGCCGGGCAAAATAAGGTTTACGCGGGTGGGGAAGGCGCAGACCACGACGACGGCGAGATGGAGGGAAGCCAGAGAAAAGACGGGGAAAGCACGAGTGCCAATCCGGGTCGCTCTTTCCTGTGCGTCAAGGCAAAAATGGCCACGGAGCACGTCGACAGGACAAAACAGCTACCAAAAAGTCCAGGAAAGAAGCTTTGCCAGGGCACATTTTGGCCAAGCTTGGATTATTGAGATCGGCCCCAGCGACCTGGGATGGGGCTGCCGAACGGGATGCTAAAAAACCGACGCCAGCTGGCGGGACGATCAGGGGTGTCTCTTTCGCCAAGCAAGTAAGAAACAGCAAGGAGTGCCACACGTGTAGTCGAAACGCGTGAAAATTGATGGGATGACGGGGAAGGAGCAGGCGGCCAGAAACTTTACGTCAAAAGGGCAACAACGCACGGGGTGTTAGAATCTCAATGGACGGCAGCCACGATGGACTGTCTTTCTTTCCCCTTTCCGCCTGCTCTCTCTGTCTCATGTCTTTTCTTGACGAGTTAACCCACAGCCGACGGTGTACGTACCAACACATCGTCAACACATCGTCAGCAACGCCGCGTTCCTTCGTTACAGAGACTCACCCGCTCTTAATTCGTACACCGCTTGCGTTCTAGAACCACGCTAGCGAATTCACGAACAAGAGGGCCGGGAGCAAAACAGGAGGCTTGCCCTCTCACTCGACACGGAGCAAACAGAGCCGAGCGACGCATTGACAGGGGTAGGGGGCACAACTCTCACTGCCACCTTACATAGGACGACGACGATTCGAAGTGCAACGGTTGCTGAACAAGCGTCTACAAAAATACGCAAGACGATACGCAGTAGCAGCCCAGACCTGTGGGTGGCCAATATATTGTTCTTACGAACAAGAGACACTGCACGAACAAGCCTCTTCTCACGAGAAAAAAGGACACCGCCAACAGCCAGGGGTGAGCGTTGAGACGCCACGTCGCAGCCCAAAGTAAGGGATAGGATGCGAAGGTTATTATTACAGTCTCCTGTCGTGCCCGGTTTACTCGGGTGGAGTCCACAAAGCATCCCGTTTGTCGCGGTGCGCACCATTGTCGTCGCCCTGCTCAACGTAAAACTTTCTTTTTTCACTGCCAGCCGATAAGCACTGGCGGGCCGGTGTCTAACCTCTGTGTTGTCCGAGAAGCTGCACCATCCTCGCAAACGGATCGTCTGAAACGAAACGTCTCTGTTTCCCGATCACGAGCCGTGTGCTGAATGCTGTCTCTGGCCTTGGGTGGTACACAGGTCGCCTTTCCCCCAGCCGGCATGATCCAGCAGCTCCAAATGATGCCGTCGTTTCGCCTCACACAACGAGCAACCGGTTGTTTTGCAGTTGCCGCTATGTACGACAACAGCTGTCTTTAACTAAAAATATATCCATTTCGGTTGCTTGTTTGTCGTCTCTTTAGTTGGTGCTACACGTGCGGTCAAGTGGACTTGAGACAGTTTGTAACATATGCAGGAAGAAGGAAAGAAAGGAGCTGATACTAAGCTAACTTTTACGTTTTTCTTTTCTTTCTATTTACCTTCTCGCGAATCGGACCATTCTGGTTTTAGGGCGTTCTGTTCCAACGACCGCGTGCCTGGTTTCCGTTGCCTCCCTTATCACCCTGTGCTTGGTCCCGATTCATTATCCCAAATGTGCAAAAGTCGGCAAGGACAAGTTCACTCTGGAGAGAACGATAAAGCCATTGTCGACAAACGCACGGCAAGCGATATTTCGCAAGTCTGTTGACCCAAGTTCCGCTTTGCGCATCCTTTGCTGTGCGGAAAGAGACGTCGCGAGACGCGACGCCACACAGCGTGCGATGCACAGATTGCCACGGAAAGTCCCAAAAGACTACCGGAGGCGACGTTGTACCGTCTTCTCTCAACTTTTCTGTTTCACGGTGCACAGCGTGAACATCTACCCTCCGCTGGGCGACATTGCCGTCGAGATGTTAAAGACAAGACGAAGATGACGCAGGACTTGCCTGTGCCGCAGGCCAGACAAGGCACCTGTGTTTTTGCAGTTCGCAGTGACAAGGTGCTATGGCAGTCTCTCGTCTTTGTGCATGAGCAGTCTGTTCCGTGAAAAGGAACAGAACACATATTCGGGCGACGTATCACCAAGTCCTGTGGGGTCCATCTCCCCAAGTTACGAAGTAGATGCTGCTGGCAACATTGTATCCCGGCGCACGCAAACCTCGCAGGCAAACACGCTTGAAGATGGGTAGAGGGTAGATCTGCATGCTCCCTTCCCTTATTTACTCCCCTTATCTTCAACGCCAACGCTCCGGTCCACATATTCCGCTCGGAGCGAGTAAGTCCTCTGCCAAACAGAAGGGACCGAAAAAGCGTCTGTCTCGGAAAGCGCAAGAGAAAAAACGCAGGGGAGAACCTGAAAATTGACAGGTCATGTTTAACCAGGAGGATAGCCGCATGCCCCAATAAGTCTCACGCTTTCGCGCGGATAGATGAGGCACTGGAAGAAAAGGAAGGGTGGAAAGTTGATCATACGGAGACCACGGTGCCGTTCTGTCTCTGGACACTGCGGATAGCCGCTGATACGACATGCTCCGACGTCTTGTGCAGGTCGTCCCTGTGAGAGTCCATGCCGGAGCTCGAGAACAGCAATCTTTCGGACATGTTGAAGAGGGAAGGCATCTTAGCAGGTCGGCTAGCCAGAAAGATGAAGCATCTGCTAATAATCGACGGCCGTCTGCCATCATCAACGCTATGCAGAAAGCGCACATTCGCTTGAACGGGGGGTCGCGCGGTTTTGGAACTGCCGTTGTTGGTTGGACGAGATGGCAAGCCTGTTCTCTTATTTTTTGGCTTCCTTTCATCGGCGTCGAATGTTTTGAAACCAAACGTCGATACACTGGTACTACATACACACTGTTCACATTGCAATTACAGAGGGGGTGCGACACGCCTCATCTGACGTTTCCGCTACCTCCTGGGACTTGTGCACTCTTGTGAGATGTTTGATATATAATGTCGACGAAAGGGGCTAATGTTTCTACAGACGGCGGGAAGGCTGAAACATTGACAGGCCGGCCGAAAAAAAAGATGGCAAAACGGGAAGTTAAAGTGAGGGACGGACTGGGCGGATGGAGAGGTATTGGCTCGGATGATGTGAGAAACGAAGCAACCCAGCCGGAATGACAGTCCCATTGACTTGAGCAATGGAGGGTGTAAAGACGCGAGCATTCAACCAGGTAACATGTCAACGGTTTTCCCCTTCGTTTCATTTTCCTATCATCACGACTGGGATTTACTTGTCTTGTTGTCCTACTGAGTCCTGCGTACGAAATACAGCGCAGTTTCGCCGACTTATTCCACGGACGTTTATCCCTTTAGTCATTACCCGGATCAGAAACAGACTGGGAGAATGTCTGCTTTCCCGGTTTGGGGTCACAGAAGGGATGGAAACAAAGACGGGATATAAGATTGCTGGCATAATGGGCGGCTGGCGGTCAATCAATTTTATCATTGTAAGAATATTAGACATCCGCCAATCCACTCAATGACACGAGGAATTGGACTTCTCAATGACCCAACGGGCACACCAACACAACGGCTGTGTTGAAAGGGTTTTGGCAGAGTAAAAAGGGTAGTGAGTGGACCAGTCATATGCATCCCTTGCTTTCCTGAGAGTCGAGAGTCGAGATGTGAAAAGAGCGCATCGTCAGGCACCATCAGTTTTCCTCCGCGACGCTGACGTTTTGTTATCCCCTTTCGTACTTTCCACATATCGTCTGCATCCCTGCATCTGCCACCTGTCGCATGCAGTGCTAACTTTGGTGACAGTCATGGTGGCAGTTGGCAAGTGGCAGGCATCGCGCCTTCCTCTCACGCACGGGCCATTCGTCTCTTTCCTGTTCAAACGTGCTCTGTCGTTCGCTCCTGCCTGTCCAAAATATCCTAGTCCCCGTACCTGCCTGTCAGTCCCATCCATCAGATGGACCCCGAGGGTCCACAGCCCACGATTTCGCGTGAGGGTAGGCGGCTGTTCATTGGTTGACAGGTGTCCAGAGCGTTGAAATCAGTGGTGTTCGCACACTACCCCTGGCGCCGGCCAGCGAGGACGGTCTGATGGAGAGGCTTGGGAGGATCTCTTTTTGGCAAGGCAGCCAATCGCAGTGGGGCTATCACCCGTTCTGGTTAAGAGCGACTTGGGTGTAATTTCCTTTTGCAGTGTTTTTTCTTACCGCTGGTGGGTTACTCCTTCCGTCATTCGCATGCCCAGTGCTGCATTTCCCCTGGCTAGTGGTGGTTGTAGGCCCTACTTCTCACTCGTGCCTGCCATTTTTGCTAGGCGCTTGGCTGGACCACCCGCACCTTCTTGTCTGTGACTCTGTGCACTGCCCTGGTGGTGTTTACCTCATTTGTCCCCTTTCGCCCTTTCCGCCTCCTCGCCATGCGTTCCTATTATCTCGTAATTTCGTTTCCCTCTCTTTTCCCTCCCTCTCTCGCCTTTCCTATTTTCCTCCTCGACATCCACCACCGAGAGTTTTCACTCCTTTCAAACTCTCTCACGTTCTTTCCTCCCCTCGCGTCGCTTGGATTTGCTTACCCAGCAAACGAAGCATCACACTCATTTTTTGTTTGTTGTTTGTGTGGTTATTTGCGTTTGGTTTCAACTCTCCCGCTCTCTTTTCGAAGTTGAATACCGTCCTGTCCTTTTTACTTAATTTGCACCACACATCACACTCATTCCATTGCTCATCGACTGGGTAAAGACGACATCGCCGACTGTTTACTTCCGATTTCCGCCTGTTTTCACCCGTTTGCAATCATTCTCGACCCTTCCCGACGAGGCCGACCGTTCCGAATCGACCTCGTTTGCTGCTCTGTACGTCTTGTCGGACTCGAAGCACTATTTTGGCTGGTACAGGAGATATTGTGGATGTTGACTGGCTGTCGCGAAGTCGGCCTGTCCGGCCGGCCGGGTCGTATCAACAAGACCTGCTTCGTGGCGGCCATCGTGGCCGGGGGAGGCCCTATGATGCGCGGCTGAAAGGTGGCCGCCTTTTTGGCCGGCCGAGAATCTTAGGACAGCGTCACACCGCAAGACGTGGACAAGACTGAACTTGTTTAGGGAATTTTTGCTGACCATCTGTTCATACAGTTGTCAACCACGTTTCTATATTATTTCTACGACTCGCCCTACGACACCTTTGTTCGTCACCCTT